AACCGGAAAAACGAGAAAAATGGTGAAATTCAGATGGTCTCCGCCCCGTTCTTCGTCAGCGTGCAGCCATCCGCCATCGCCAACCATCACTTCTACTTTGTCATGGACCGTCCTCAAGGAGAGCGTCTCCTCACTCAACCGCACCAGCTCGTCGGCTTTGTCAAGCAGCTCGCCTCAGCTTTCCCTGGATGTAAGTCGCGGTGACTATCCGATACAGCGATGTGAAAGGCATTTTCAAAAACGAAAACTCTTTCTTAACTCAATACAGTGTCGAAAAATATGCCATGGCCTTTTTTAGCCCTTAAAACTTCACCGAATATTATTTTTTTTTGGCAAAAACCTTTTTTCTTACGATCAATCCCATTCAGCATCCACCGAAAACGTGACCATCGAACGCGTCGAAAAGGACGGCGATGGGCGCGCCATCATCTACTGGAGCAACACCACGCTGAACGCCGAGAAGACGTGCCCCGTCGACGATCTCGAAGCGATGAAGCTGGTGATGGCCACGAAGAAGCAGAACAAGCCGAAGACGGACTTTACCCGTGCCATGAGCGCCCAGTACATGATTCGCCGGATTGGGTTGGACTTGCTAGGTGGGTGGGATGACAAGGAAGAAGATTAAAATGCCTTAAAATGCTTTAAAAATTTACAAATAATAAAAATTAGGAGGCTGCAAGAAGCAAACCGTCGACACGGATACCTCGTCCCCGTCCGTCGACAAGCCGTCTCGTGAATCCGGCTTCGGCTGGTTGGCCCTAGCGGCCGCCTTGGCCCTGCTCCTGCTCCTTGTCGCCATCGCGCTGTGCTGCTGCTTGTCGAAGAAGCCGAAGAAGGAGAAACCGTCCGAGTTTGTCTCCAAGGGACTGCCCGTCGTGTTTCCGGAAGAAGTTGCCGACGAGTCTGACACGGCGGCTGCTAACACGCCAATGCTTGTGAAGGAAGAGAGGCCGCCATTGAAGGTAGGTGTAGTAAAACCTAAAAAATCCGATCATTATCGTGATTATAAAGTTCCAAAAACTCACAAAGTATACAATTACCTATCTTCCAGATTTCGCACCACGAGAATCCCCTCTACAAGCCGCCCGGCGAGTACACCAAGTCCTTCCAGCCGCGCAACTCGACGCCCGGGCACGCCGGCACGCCCGTGCAGAAGCTGCCCCCGCCCTATGTTGTACCCTAAAGACCCTGAAAACCCATACATAACACGGTATGCCCCCTAAAATCTAAAAATCCGTGTACGCACAGCGAGTCATGGTGCAAAGAAGCGCCACGTAGCCCGAAACCAAGCAACGTGCTGCTCCATTGCGCGCTATTTTTTGTGCTTTCGTGTACTTTTTCTTATTTTTACCGCTGGTTAAACCGAGCCACACCTCGCTCTTCCTCCTCGAAACCATCGGCTCAAAGCGACATATTGAATTTACTGCCCTCCTTGAATTTCACGGCTAGTGAGCCGGAGAGCAGACACCCGCTCCAGCTTTCAGAATTTTTGTTTTTTTTTTGCCTTTTTTGTGATTTCGACATTCCCTTTTCTTTATTTTGCGCTCCACCCCATTTTTCACATAATCAGAATGCCAAAAATGCGCAGACGCCACGGCAAAAGCTTTATCAGTTTTGTTAAAGGGATTTCGAAGGCAAATGTTAAATTTTCGCTTTGAAAACCGCACTCTGTTTTCAAAATCCCTTTAGCCCCGTTCACGGAGTATTCCCCCTCTTTTTCAGCAAAAAATATGGCACTTTTTTCATCCACTGCCCCCATTTTGTTTGCTATTTTTCCGCGCGCATTCCGGTTTCACGTTGTTCTAGTTGCCGACCGACTTAAGACCCCCCATTACCCCAATATTGCAATTTCTAATTCGCACATCGAAATGGCCAGGGAGTACGACTTCCCTCATTAACTTTGAGACTCTTCCACTTTTCGGGTATTTGCCCCCATTCTATATTTCCTTTTGTCAAGATCGGAATAAAATTTATACGCTGAAAACGGTAATGACAAAAGCATAACATGAATATAACAACGATCGCTGAGTAGGACTTTTGGTCGCCAGCAGGTAGAATCATAGAATCACGACATTTACTTGGATTCTCGAGGATCAAAACAACAAAACAATAACCGGGGCAGTGGTACAATTTCGGAATTTAAAATGCATGATGTCTAAGTGTTTGGTATCATGGTTCTTGATACGTGTGGCGGCGTAGAATCGGGATCGCGTTGCGGCGGGCACGCACAAGACGCGACCCGTCTGTCGTCTCAACGTGCAGGTAGCCGGTCGGCAACTCTTCCGGCTCCTCGGCGCCGAACAATCGGATTCTGAAAAATTTAGGTTGATTACGAAAGGCTTGACTTACCTAGCCTCAATCGAATCGGCTTGTCGTTGCTGCAACTGTGTGAGCCCGAGATCCTGGGCCGAGTGCACGAATTGGTAGTTCTTCGGAAGGCCATTCCGGCTCAACGTAGACCGGGCGCCATCTTCGTTTTCTGAGGATAGGAAGATTAGAGGCGTCGAAAGATCGTGCAAACCTCGCGATTGTTCGTAGACACCTTGGTCGTGAACCGGAAGTACGAGTGGCGCCTGAAAGTGATTGGGACGGTTGCAATTCGGAAACTGAAAATTACCACGTAGCTGACGGAGGGTTGCGCCTGGATATGCGGTACCTTTTGTGGCGTACAGGATGGGGAGGCGCTAAAAATAAAAATTCAGTCAATTCCGAGCGTCTTCTAAATGAAAACGACTCGAAAAAATGCTTACATAATCTCGGGCGCTAGTCGTTTTGCTGGCTTCAACGGCGAGACGGGCGGCACGGCAACCACCTTGTTCGGGCTTCCCAACTCCTTTGGGATGCATCCGTAGTAAGCCAAGCTAAAAACGTTATCGTTATAAAGCCGAATTCTCATAATACATAAGTGCATCTTTCTTATTAAAATTCTGGTATAATGAAATTCGGCATTATGGCGCTAAAACAGGTAATGGGCGGTGAATACATAGTTTTTGACTACGCACCAGACGTTCTCCTTCGTCCACGATTCCCAATTCAACGCCGGCTCGAGATGGGCGCTGCGGCAGTGGAGCTTGGCGTCATCGTGAATTTTCCTGGAAATATCAGGATCAGATAGTACAAACAAAAATGCGTTTTACAGTCAATCCACACTTACTTGAGCAATCCATGCTTCAACGGCGGGTCCGAGAGATGCCTGACAAGCCCGGGCCCCGTCTTGTAGACGTAATTGCACTTTTGACAAAATGGGCAAGCAACGCCACGGTTGCCAATGAACAGCTCGCCGTCGCTGCCGTGGCTCAGCTAAAATATAGATAAGTTTGGCGAATTTGTCGACTCACCATGTGTTTTTGAGTGACTTCTACACTATACGAATTGAACTTGCAAACGGTACAGCTCCAAGGTTTCCTGAAAAACGCATTTTGAAAATTAGTAAAATTCCACTTACATTATCACCGGCAGCTTTTTTTGGGAGGTGCCTTTTGGAACGCCGAACGCCTCGATGGCCGTCTGAAAGCAAAATAATAAGTAACGTTGTAAGCAATGAAAGCTAATAAGATAGCTAGTACGCGTTTTTCAAGCTAGCAGGAGTGAAAAATCACGCCGCGTACGAAAAAAAACTCGATAACTGCGCTCACCTTATTAAATTCAAATTGCCGGAAGCACTCTTCGGAAAAATGGTCCGTGCAAATCGGAAGCTCACTCATCTTCTTGGAATTCTTCACACGAAGCATGTCCTAAAATGCCTGTTAAAATTTTCCGCGCTAAAATACCTTATACTCAAAGCCGAGAATTCCGCCCCACACGCGTCGCTTATCCAGACATTTCGGAAAGTTGAGGAACATCTAAAAATACGTTTCACCGAAACGTCAGAACTACCTCGCCCTTCTCAATCACTCGGTCACAAACCACGCAGAGTTGCGAGCAGCCGAGGATACAATTCTAAACTCTATAATTAATGGATCTAGCAAACTACTCACAGTTTGGTAGCCCTGCACTCCAGGATTGTAGAGTAGAACGCTCTTGATCCGAAATTGACCATCTTGATTGTAGGCCAGCTGAAAGCAGACAGTTTTCGTCGGTAAAATCCATTTACCTCCAGCTCCTCCTCGATTTTCGGCGTTTTCGTGAGTTGGCTCACCTTCTCTGGAAGATTTCCGGGATAATGGGAAAACACCCTTTCAATTGCCTAAAATACCGTTTTTCTTAAAACTGAAAAATCTTCAATACCGCCAACGGCTTTTCCGTCGAAATAACATGGCCATCCGCGCCAATCGTCACGTACACCTCCTCGGCAAAGTCGATGATGTGGTCCTTCTCGATGTCCGGTGGCGATTTGACGACCGTAAAGCTTCCTTGGGTCTGATCAGTCATCTGCGATCCAAAAAAATATTGCAACCGCTAACGACAGGTTTAGCCCACGTTTTCTGAATCTTATCGCGGTTCGCGCCCCTTTGGAATGGGATGTCTGCCGACGGGACGTGGAATAGCAAACGGGCGGGGGCATTAACTCTCTGTCTGTGAGGACGAGGCAGTTGCGGTACTTTATGCATCAAGGAGAACGAGGCATTGCTAATGAAATTGGAAGGAAATATCAAAAAGGGTCAGCAAAAATAGAACTGTTTTTGGGGTCGTGTGTTAACGGAGATCGTCTCCCCGCAAAAAAAGACATGGTTTCAAATATAAAATCTCTTTGGCTAATCTAGCTGAGCATCGAGCTTTTTGTGCGCCAGAGCCTGCTACTCTCATATTCCCATCGCTTTTGCACATACTGCAGTACTGGCGCCAAAGTGGCAGCGTTTTGTGTTGTAGTGCTAGTTGCAATTCTTTGCTTCAGCTCGGCTGTTGAAAAGACAAAATGAATCAATAGGTAAAAGTATTTATCTGGGCACGGGCAGACTGGCAGGAATTGCCTCAATACAAAATAAGGCAACAGGGACATATAGCAATAGCACAAACGAGCGGCGGGAAACTGTTTAATGCAAGCGCAGCTTGGGTATCTAGACAATGTTGCTTTGCAGGAGCATCGTGTGGATCTGCTTGATGTGGACCTCAACGTGGTCCTCGAAAGCGCGTAAATTGACTGGAGCAATCTAGGTTCGAATGTGCCACCGCATAGAAAATAGCGATACCTGTGCTCTCAACTCCTCTATCGTGTCATTTATCGATTCTAGGTCGATTGCTGAACATTTCTGCTGCCCGAGTTGCCGGACCTAGAATAAGGTTAGGTTCAAAGAGGTAAACACCGACTTGTAGGAGCAGGCTGGTCAATCCAGTGATCAGCTCGTTCGCCTTGGTGGTGCGCTGGCGGCTTCCCAACTGGTTACGGCAGTGCTTGACAATCTGAACCGCTTGGGAAGTGCTGACCTTGCGCAGGGCCTCCGGTCGCGAAATCACGGCCACCTAGGAACAGTTTATACACCAGAAATCTGAGAACAAACCTCGGATAACTGCGGCAACAGTTGATTGTGATAGTCATGGACACCGCGCATGTAGTTGCTGAGGTGCTTGTTCAGCTGCTCGATTTCCATCACCACTTCGGCGTACTTATTCTTAAAACGGCGTATTTTTCCTTTTCACAAAGGTTACTTGAAAATTGATATTGTATTCGCACTGCATCATCTTCACTTTCTCGGCCTCATTGTTGAGCTCAATTATTTGGCGAATGGAGGCCTTCTTCGACTCGATCAGCTTCGCATATTTGACGAGAATCACCAGCAGGCGCACGGGAAAGTTGCCGACTTTCTCGTCGGCTAAATTCTACGGGTAAAGAAAATCTAGATCAAAACGCACTCTTCCCGGGTGCTGCCGAGGTGCCGAGCTGTTTTGTGGCGGTGGCCATGATGAGGTCATTTCTCTGGCTGGCCGTTCGGTCGTTGAGAATCTAGAAAATCAAGGGACTGATTTTTAGAATTTTGGTCACCAACCTTTCCACCGGGTAATAATGGGGTGCCCGAGATTTTTAGTGGAGCTGGGAGAGCCGCCCTGAAAATGTGTAATTGAAAGAGCATCACCAAAAATACACTGATCGATCCTGATCATCAAAAACATTTTTCAAAACTCACTGGTTCTGCTCCAAGAAATAGGTGAGTGGCAGCAGCTCGACGTTCTTATCTGTCATGATTTCCGTGTCGCGGATAAACATCGGCTGCAGTAGGTCGTCCTAAAATTAAAAATTACCGCTTTTAATACTCAAAGCTACCCTCTCGAAAACGATTCGATACCCCTCGGGGAGGATGGCATCGACGGTGCCGGCGTAAATCCCGTCTTTTGGGTGCCGGATTCGGGCATGGATTTTCATACCTATAACTTAGCTTTAGTAGAAGAAAATTGCCGCTTACCGACTGCCAACTGGCGCGGAAGCAACGCGGGAAGGTCTTGGAAATCGAAGTCGTTTCGCAGGTTGATCGACCCGTTACAAACCTATTTCCATTTTCCTCAATATTTAAATGAAACCCACCGCGCGGATCTTTGTCCGTTTCAACTCGAGCTGGTGTCGTTCCTCTTCCAAGAATGCTGGACTGCACCTAAAAAAAGACGTTTCATGATGTCGGCTACGCCAAACCTTCTCGGCTTTCCAATCAAGCTTCGGATGGCCCGCCATTCACTTCTTCGCAGCCAACGTGTTTTGAGGTTTGGAAAGTATTCCCTAAAAATGAATATCATTCACGGAGCCCCTTACTTACCGCAAGCATTGTGAAAATTCATTCTCCGCGTTGAACAGCTGATCATCGATGGCCGAATAGAAGAACTCGCAGTGCACCCAGCGACGAGCTTTCGGCAACTTCAGCACGTTTTTCATCCTGAAATCGTGTTTGTCATTAGTATCCTACTTCAAACCTGTATAGATAGTTGTTAATGTTATCGGAAAGTCCCGGGTGTCTTGGCAGACGGCTTCGCACTTCTGGTTGCTAAAATAAGATTGAGAAATCATTGTAGAGTTCAAACCTGAAGAACCGGGGCTCGGCCGACGGCGATTCTTGGCTCACTTCCATTAATCTAAAAATATAAGATGTTGGTAACCTTGTATTCGTACCTCGTAGGCAAAAGGAGCATCATAGCTGTCCACCGTTACTGCAGATTGATCGAGAAATTGACTGCTGGCCGAGTAGCTGGGCATCGATTCAGCGATCGTTTCCTAAGTCCGAACTACATTTCGAAAACGTAATACTACCTCAAACTCATAGTCATCACGTAAGTTATCGTATTCCTGTTGTGGCAGGGCTCGGGCGGGCGGTAAACTGGTACGTGACGGGCCGGGTTTCGACTAAGAAGATCCGTTTGGTTAGAAAGTAACCAACTTGGCTGGAAGTAGGGCGTTTTAGTGGGGGAAGATCGACGTTTGGCTGGCGAACGTCGTACAGCTTCACTCTCCGCGTACTCTCGAAATCGAGCTGAGACCTAGGAGAGATCATTGATTTTCACCAGTTAACGATACCTTTGCGGATTCTCGTAATCCATATCGAGATTCGCCCGTTCTCTCCCCGCGATGGAGCCGACATCTGAATGGAATTACAGGTGGTGGACGACCGGAAGTTTAAGGGTATTTAAAAACATAAAATTGTTTGACCGCGAAGGACGGGATAGGGGATCTGGTTTTGAAGCCGAGCTTCATCTGAGCATTACATTAGCCAATTTTTGATGCTACTTTCGTCAAAGATGGGTGGGGCAGATGTTTTACCGTTGACATTGCCCCTCATAGTCCACCAAAGGGCGCTTTGATTGCGCGGGATCTACGGGGCCGAGTCCTGCCACGGACACCATGATGGCCGACTCGGTTCTTTGGTGGGTGCCATTATGCAGTCTTGATGTTTGATAAATTGCATCGAAAGTTGAAAAAAAATACAAATAAAACACTAATGGTGATTTCCGAAAATCCCTGCATCGCTAATAAAAATATATAACCTCGTTTTAAGCTGTGATTTTTTTCTCTAACCCAAAACATCGCCTTTCATCGCTTACATCATCCTAGCGCAATATTTTACGCCTATATGCTCCAGTTACATCATCGATAATACATATACCCATTTACAGGTCCTCGCCGACGCTGGATGACCGACCAGTGGTCTCAATTAAACGAGAAGCTCGCCAGTTACCCGTACGTCGACGGGTTAGTCATCGATCTTACCTAGATAAATAGACTTCAGGTACACCATCAGCGACCGGGACTTTGAAGTGTTCAAGAGCGTCCCGGTGAAAGAGCTTGGCGGAAAAGCTAACCTAGCCCGGTGGCATCGACATATCGCGTCATTCAAGCAGGAGCCAAGCAAGCAGCCAACCGACGATATGGAGCTCGGAGACAACTTGCCACAGTGAGTCGGCAACTCCATTGTTATGAACGATTCCAGATACCTGCTCAACCATCTGACCAAAACGGGTGCTCCCTTCAACTCGATCGCGCTAGCGGAAGAGCTTGGTCTTGATCACCAGAAGCTGATCGGCGCCGTGAAGAGTCTGATCGCGCAGGATGGCGTAGGTTTTTCTTGGACGGTTTTTTTTACTTTTGGTTTTAGCTGGTCACCGTGTCCGAGACATCCGAGAAGCGGACCGAGCTGACCAACGAGGGACAGGAAATGGCGACAAATGGCTCGCACGAATACAACGTGTTCGTAGCGATTGGTGACGAAGGGTTGCCCCAGGGAGAACTCATGGTACGGATCTTTTGGGATTTCGGATGTCTCTTTTCTTTAGAAGTTGCCAATCGGCAAAGTGGGCATGGCGAAGGCGATAGCTGCAAAATGGATCGCTACCGAGAAGAATGGCGCCGAGGTTCGGTTGGTACGAAAGATGGCGGCTGACGCCGTTGTTGATAAGGTTCGTTTTTGGGCGTTTTTCTGCTTTGAACATAAAATTTTTGTTCTTTTTAGGTTCGCGAACAATTGGAACAAATCAGCCTTGGCCAAGAGGTCGACGCAAAAGATAAGACCGAGCTGAAGAAGCGCAAGCTCATCAATGAGGTTACGGTTAAAGGGCTGATTGTCGAGAAGGGACCCAACTTCACGACGGAAATCGTCAAACCTGAACTCGATCTGACCGCAGAAATGATTCAAAGGTATCGTATGCGCCTAAATTAACTTGATTTTTGTCGATTTTAGCGGTAGCTGGAAGGAGAAGACCTTCAAGAAGTACAACTTTGAAGCGCTTGGAGTACAGCCCTCCAGTGGTCACCTACACCCATTGATGAAGGTGTTAATTTTTCCATGTCTTTTGTTACTCTCATCATTAGGTCCGCGCCGAGTTCCGACAAATTTTCTTCCAAATGGGCTTCACCGAAATGCCGACGAATCGCTACGTGGAGAGCTCGTTCTGGAATTTCGACGCACTCTTCCAGCCTCAACAACATCCAGCTCGCGATGCGCACGACACTTTCTTCATTTCAGGTGGATTTTCAATCTTGTTGAAAACGCGTAGATTACAGACCCTGCAATCAGCACCAAGTTCCCCACGGATTATTTGGAACGGGTGAAGACGGTTCATTCCAAAGGCGGCTTCGGCTCAATCGGGTATGCCTTGTCGGGGTTTGCTTTATTTCCTGTTTTTAGGTATAATTATGATTGGAAGCTGGAAGAGGCCCAGAAAAATGTACTGCGCACTCATACGACGGCCGTCTCTGCACGTCAACTCTATTCTCTAGCGCAAGAGGTATAATCAGTCGCTGAATCTCTTGAGTTATTTTTAGGGCTTCAAACCATCAAAAATGTTCTCCATCGATCGGGTCTTCCGAAATGAGACGCTGGACGCGACACATCTCGCCGAATTCCACCAGGTCGAATGAGCCTACGACAACAATTATCTTGCTTTAGGTAGAGGGCGTGATTGCCGAGAAAAACCTGTCGTTGGCCCATCTGATCGGCATCTTCACCGAATTCTTCAAGAAGCTCGGAATCGAAGGGCTGAAATTCAAGCCCACCTACAACCCCTACACCGAGCCGAGCATGGAAATTTTCGCCTACCACCAGGTGCATCCCTCTTTTAGTCTTTTATATTGATCTTAGGGCTTGAAAAAATGGGTTGAGATTGGCAACAGCGGCATGTTCCGACCGGAAATGCTGTTGCCGATGGGACTGCCAGAAGACGTGAATGTTGCTGGATACGGGCTGTCGTTGGAACGGTGCGTTGGAGTGCGAATAAAAATATTTATGAATTCTAGGCCAACAATGATCCGGTACGGCATCAACAACATTCGGGACCTGTTCGGGGCAAAGGTCGACCTGGAGATGATCCGGAAGACGCCGATCTGCCGGCTGTCCAAGAAGGACTAATTTTTCTGTTTTTCTGTTGCCCCCTGTTTTCGATGCGGTGAATCGTTTCTGATAGTCGAAATTGTGTGTTTTCAATGTGATTGTGCCCACCCGTTATTGCCCGTTGTTTTTATGTTTTATTGTTACGCTTTCGGATAAAGATGGGTATACGTTTAAAAGGCAATTACAATTGTAGGCACCGCCTTTAGAGATTGCTTACTAGGGAAGTGCAAATAAAAAATCTGGAAAATCGCTTAGCAAAAATATGGGTCGGATAGAGTCGACGACGGGGATTCCGAAACTGCAATCAGAATTTGCAAAACGCTTAATACAAAAAAGTTATGAGCATTTTAAGTTTTCAGCACTTTTCTCGCCCTCCCTTATGAGCCCCTCCCAAAGACGGGTGTCCGCATGTCGAGTGGTGTAGTGGCTAACTAGCCTGCCCCTGGGGCGGAGGGTCTTTGGTTCGGCTCCCCGGTCATGCCAAATTTTTTGCTTTTTGGTCAAAGTCAAGAACTTTAGACTTTTTCAAAGTTTCGAAGTCCGAAATTTAAATTTTTGAACATTTTCTTTACTATTGACTGCGTGTAGGCTTACCTTACGAAAAAACAGAGGTGAATTTTTTTAGTACCCTACCCGTACTCCCGTACGGGCGTACGGGTAGGGCAGTACTTGCACTCCCGCCACCACTTCGTAATCGGTTTCATGAATTTAAAAATTAAGAGGACGGGCTTTTCGACTTTGAAACTTTGAAAAAGTCTAAAGTTCTTGACTTTGACCAAAAAGCAAAAAATTTGGCATGACCGGGGAGCCGAACCAAAGACCCTCCGCCCCAGGGGCAGGCTAGTTAGCCACTACACCACTCGACATGCGGACACCCGTCTTTGGGAGGGGCTCATAAGGGAGGGCGAGAAAAGTGCTGAAAACTTAAAATGCTCATAACTTTTTTGTATTAAGCGTTTTGCAAATTCTGATTGCAGTTTCGGAATCCCCGTCGTCGACTCTATCCGACCCATATTTTTGCTAAGCGATTTTCCAGATTTTTTATTTGCACTTCCCTAGTTAGTTGTTTAAACTAAAATTCCACATCCCTGCTGACCCCTTTAAAACAGCATAAAAATGTTATTCGTTTCCTTGCAGTTGCCATTTACCCGCTTCATCTGGGTCCATATTTGCCCAAGTTTCTTCTGGCCCCAGCGCCCGAAAAGGAAGCTTTTGGCGTAGCGTGATGCCCTGGATGAACGAAAAGCGGAGCGCAGACCCAACCCCTCAGGCTCTCCTCATTATCAGCCTTTACCGCGATTTCCGGGTCCACGATTTCCTGCGCTGCCTTGCTTTTTAGCGGAATTCTTGCCCTTCCCCCGCCATCCACATTACCCAATTTCCGTTGGTAATGAGACGGGTGAGATGAGCGGCTGAAGCGATAGACAAGGATCCGGTTGAGTCTGTCTAGTTTTTCGAGATCGAAGCCAGCTTATCGGGTGCGGAATTTAAAACTTGCAAAATAAAAAATAAAATGTTGAAAAATAATTTAAAAAATAAATTTTGCGCTGATTCCGTATCTGTTTTCAGATTTGCTGAATTCTCGGATTTTGGAAAGTTACGGTCCATTTTAGGTCTAAAAGGCCAAAAATGACGTGACCCCACGAAATAGTTCTTTAAAGGCATGGAAAAGTCTAGTTTATGAATTTTGGTGTCTGTGGATTCCCTATTTTTCCGTACCGCGCCACGCAACGCAACGCACTCGATCTTGTTTCACTGCGTAGTGGATTACAAGTTTTTCGTGAGTGCAGTGTGCGCGTCGCCTGTGCGTGAAAATCCATAACCAAAGACCGATAGCCACCGCTTGCCGGTCCCTTTAATTTTTGCCATTCTGAGCTGACCACTACATTGCCATAAATAGGCCAAATCTGCAGCGAGTTTTTGTCAAACTCCAGGCGCACCACATTGCGTGTGTTTTTCCGGTGAAGTGGGCCAGCGAGGGAGGGAGGGAGGGAGGGGGCATCTCGAAGAATTTGTATTCGAGCGCCGACGTTTCGGGCCCAAAAACGTCAACAGCGCTGCCGAAATGGGCGCCGGATTCTGGTGTCTTAAATGGGTAAAATGTACTCAGCAGGATTCAGATAGTAGACTTTAATTTAGCCATATAGCCCGTAACGTCTGGCGGGTTAAGGGGACCGGCAAGGCGTGTCTAGAGGGGGTTAGGATGTGGATTTGGTAGCCGATTCGGGGCATTTTTGGGGCATCAGCGCCGCGTGTGCGTTGCGTGTCGCGGACTTCAAAAGAATGGTGGGCCTTGCAACAAAATCCCTATCCGTGGCTTTCCCGTTCCTTTAACTACACTTTTTTTGGGGGTGGGGTGGGAGGCGGAAATTCCGGGGTCCGGCCCCGTGCTAGGGCCCAAATGGGCCAAGTCGCGCGGAATGTTGGTGGAGTTGACCGGGCGGTGTTTCATAGATCAGTTTGAGATGGCGTTTAATAGGATTTAACGGATTTTGTAAAAATTTATCTCTCTCTCTTTCATTCTCTCTCTCTCTCTCTCTCTCTCTCTCTCTCCCTTCGGATTTTCAATCTGTAGGTGTTCAATTCGCTGTACTAAACTTCTTCTAAGCCTTCATTTCCAAAAGTTTACCCCACTCACAATTCTTCTGCTTTCCCTTGCACCTTATGTTATTCAAAGCTGTCTTTCTCCCTCTGTCCCTCTTTCGATCAACCCCCCAGAATCCCTAATGTCATTCTGCAACGCCCCAACAGCCCAAAACAACGCGAATTTCTGCAGATGAGAAGGGCTTTTCAGGGAGCGGATGACCGCACTTTGGCGGAATATTGAGGGATGCGCTGCACTTTATTTTGCGATTGGAATATCTCTCTCTATCTCTCTCTCTCCCTCTCTCTCTCTCTCTCTCTCTCTCTCTCTCTCTTTCTCTCTCTATCTCGCTGCATGCTATCACAGCCAATGTCTCTGTGTTTGCGGCGAAAATGCGACGCGCAGCACGCACGCGACGCATTCACGGAACACGGATACCCGTTTGAAGGAGCTTATCGTAATTTAGCATTCCTCCTGCATAGAAGTGGCCCCTTCTGTCGCCATCCCTTTAAAATTGTCCAGCTTGCCCTCTAGAAACCAGTCGGATTACCCCCCAGTGGTCACACCGCACGTGCAAAACCGCCACAAAATCTGAAATAATGCGCCGAGCAGAAGCGCTTGGTTCGCAATTAAATGCGGCACGTCGGCCCCGGTCAAACAAACTATCGCGCATCCCCACCTTTTAATAAAGCTCTTTTCAAGCTGCTTTTCATTGGGGTTTCAAAAGATGCGGGTAGATGGGGGTTTTCTTAATAGTCTACTGGGTTGTTATTAATCTTATTACACACGGCCACTCCTCCCCCACCACATCCAGTATAATTGGCTCTGTGGACTGGCAGACAATGGCGGCTTTTGCAAATTAATCTTTTCCACGGGGGAGTCCAAATTTGTCGGGTTTTTGGACGATACTCTTGATGGATTCCCTGTTCCTTTAAAATTATCGCTCTCCTCTCTCTCTCTTTCTCTCTCTCGCTCGCTCTTTCTCTCTCTCTCTCTCTCCCTCTCTCTCACTCTCTTTCTCTCTGGCGTGGATCCCTATTTTTAGCTACAATTTTTGAATTCTCTAAAATCTCCAGAATTGCCCCCAATTTTCTGCCTCGTCATTTGACTGGATACGGTAATTCACCCTCCTGGGGATCCTGATTTTTATGTTTTGCTTGGGTGCAAGAAATAATCGGTACAAGAGTAATAAGTTTATCGGATTTCAGGATCCGAAAAACCTGTACTTAGGTTCAAAACGGAGTTGCAGGTCTCTCGCTCTCGCTCTCTCTCTTCATCGCACTCTCTAGCTCGATGTTTATCTCTTTACCCTCTCTCGTTCTCTCTCTTTCAGGCGCTCTCTCTTTCTCTCTCCCACTCACTCTAGCTATCTCTCTCTCTCTCTCTCTCTCTCTCTCTCTCTCTCGCTCTTTCACTCCTGCAGAATTCCGTCAGGTCCATGATGAATTCTCAAAAGTCACAATTCCCTCCCGTCCGTCACCAACCCGCATGTCATTGGCTCGGAAATGAGCCGGGCCCAATTTTTTAGGGGGCGGTCGGTGAGGGTTCCCGGCTGATTAGAGGACCCTATGTCCACCGGAAGAGGCCAATTTCTAAGGGCGTCTACCCCCTCGGTGGTCAATGGGTTTGAAGTTTCACTGTAGGCAAACTTTAGGGTTACTCTTAACGCTTGGAATCGTCATTGGTATCGTGATGTATTTTACAGTTATCTATACCAGCTTTAAATTTTTGCGAAGACTAGGGCATAGCCTCCAAAAAAATCGGTATAATCGTTATACCGCCCTTCCATCCATCATCCTGGGTGGCGCATCGGAATGCGCGCGTGGGGGAGTCACAGAGTCCAATATTTTACTCCAGATAGGGTGAAATTTTTGGGTCCTCATTGGTTTCTGCAAGCCTACCCTGCTCGTTTTTCTAGCTCTAGCTCTAGCTCTAGCTCTAGCTCGAGCTCTAACTCAAGCTCTTGCTCTAGCCCTAGCTGATACTCTAGCTCTAGCTCCAGCTTTCAGATTCTAGCTCTCTATCTCTCTCCAACTCACCATGTCTCTCTTCCTGGCTCTCTTTCATTGGCACCAGGTTTTTTCTCGTGCTCTCGCTCTCTATCTCGGCCGTTAACTCTCTCTCTCTCTCTCTCTCTCGCTGTCGCTCACTCTTTAGCGTTCGCTACCTATCTGTATTGACTAAGTGAGAAGGTGTGAACGTGAGATAGAGAGAGAGAGAGAGAGACCGAGAGAGACCGAGATATATGGAGAGACACAGAGAGAGCGAGAGATAGAGCGAGACATCGAGAGCAAGAGAGTGAGAGAGAGTGGGTGAGAACGTAAGAGTGAGAGGGATAGGGAGCGAGGGGGATAGAGATTGACCTGCTTCCCTTCTCAACCCCTTTAACGCCCCCACCCACACGATAGAACTATTTTGGCGATCCATGCGTTTGGCGTGCCGTCAATTTCCTCCTGGGGATTCCAATCGGATGCTGTAAACAAAAGTTCACCCGGCCACACCAATCGCATTTGAAGAAGCTGTGGTGGCAAGGGGGTCTTTGTTGAATTATAGCTCCTCTAGTCGAGAGGGAAGCCTTTCTGTTCCTTTCTGGCTTTGAGGAGGCCACCCATTTTTCACTGGGTCCCAAAAATTGGCTGGGTTTAAGGGGAATGGAGGGGTTAGAACTGTTGAAAACATTCCATTTGGGGGGCTTTAAAGGGACTGGGAAGCGGGGATTTTCATTTTTTGCCTGCTGCTTGTCTACGACTACGAGGTGTTCCTAATGACGTTGATAATGAGGATCTGGAGCTGGGAGCAAGAAGTCCGAGCGCGTCGCGGTTGCGTTGCATTAGTTTTCGAGCTATTGTGAGGAGATTCAGCTCCCGGCTCCCCGCTCTTACTCTAAATACTTTTTAATGAACATTAGAATAATTCCATAAAAGAGAGAGAGAGAGAGGGAGTAGAAGAGAGAGATCTCCGTAATGAGAGAGAAAAGGAGAGCGAGAGAGAGAGAAAGAGAGAGAAAGAACGAGAGAGAGAGAGAGAGAGAGAGAGAGAGAGAGAGAGAGAGAGAGAGAGAGAGAGAGAGGAGAGAGAGAGAGAGAGAGAGAGAGAGAGAGAGAGAGAGAGAGAGAGAGAGAGAGAGGCATCCATTCGTCCAAATCCGCCCTGCAAACCCCACAAACATCATCAAGAAATTGTTGGAAACACTAGGCCCACCTATCCCGGCCACTATTATTCAGCAAATTAAGCGCCTGGGCCCTTTTTCCTTTTTTCCTGGAAGACGCTCTAGCTATGATGAAGCTGGTTTTCCTGGCAAATCCACTTTCGAGAATCCAGGAATTGGAACCTTATAGCTTTGAACTTTGCAGCCAGCTGTAGATTTGATATCAGCTCGCTTCACACACTCTCTTTCTCTCTCTGGCTCTCTCTCTCTCTCTCGCCTTATTCCTTTCGAGGCGATTTGTGGTTGTAAGCCCTGCCTCAAAAAAACCCCATTACTCCCCGCGAAGACGTGCAAATCAGAGGAATTAGAGCGTTCCGGGGATTCCGCGCCGCCAACGACTTCTTTGTCCGTCCCAGAAATTTGCACTCCCAGACGTTCAATGCTTTCCTTGCCGATTTTTGAGCCCAAATTTCAGCGAATTTGAATAAAACTCAGGCAGCCACTACTGGTTTCTGACCTGTTATATTTCTTCGTCGCTGTATTTATTCCAGTTCCTATCGTAAGCCAAGCCTAAGCCAAGCCTACGCCAAGCCTGAGCCTAAGGCCAAGCCTAAACCTACCCCAAAGCCTAGGCGAAAGTCTAAGCCAAGTCTAAGCCAAGCCTAAGCCTAAGCCCGAGACCAAGCCGAAGCCTATGGCTAAGCCAAGTATAAATCAAAGTCTAAGACATGCCTAAGCCTAAGCCTGAGTTTAAGCTTAAGTCAGAGCCAAGCTCGTGAAAAATTCGGTCAATGGTCAGCCATAATTCCCCAGGGGCTAGGCGCCCTATCATCTTCTTTTTCCGCTTAAAATTATGCCCAGGTCAGAGAACAAAATTCTGAATTTATTTCTGGCATTGCGCCATATCCCACGACGGCTTAAAAGTAGAGCTCTAAATTCCGTGCATCTAACGTATTCAGTTTCATAGCTGCTTTCTGGCGGAATATGCGCCTAAGCTGAGGCTTCGACAGGTTTCGGCTTCATCATACACTTAAGCTTGGGTTCTTTGGATCCTTAGGCCCATATTCGCCCTGGCGCTCCAAAGCATGCCCCCCCCCCAATTTCTTGGGTCATTTTCACGGCAGTCTTTCGGAGCTCCAACTCCTTTTAGGGAGCCGCCACTTTTGAGGGGGTGAAGACGAAGGGCTCTTGGCGGCTCGTTGTTTTTGGATTGTGCTGGAACACCCCCGAATTTTCGCTTGCATGGAATAGCTAGGAGCCGGTGGTCACTGAAAGTGGGAGCTCGCGCCGTGATTTTAGGTTTTTCAGAACTGAGGATTTAACTTCCCTAGCCCTCTCACTATCTATCTCTCGCTGCATAGCTGTCTCGCTCTTTCTCGCCCTCTCTCTCTCTCTCTCTCTCTCTCTATCTCTCTCACTCTCTCTCTTCTCGCGCTCTCTCTCTCGCCCCGGAAGCTAATATCGACCTTAATGGCGGGGTAACACCCTTATAATCGTCAGAGTTACATGCCATGTACGATTCCCCCCTCTATAATCCTAATTCCCTGCCCCACTCTAGTTTTTCCGATTATTTTTTGGGTCCGAGTCCTGAAAAAGTTTCGGCTTGAACCCGTGAGGACAAGCCGACTAATTGCAACTGGGTAGAAGGCGAGAGAAGGAGAGAGAGAGCGAGAGAGCGAAAGCGAGGGAGAGAGAGAGAGAGAGAGAAAAGAGAGACCTCTGCAATCTGTGAAAGTTCACGCTTGTCAAAGCGGGTAAATCGACACGCCGCCCAGCCCCTCTCGCAATTTCCTTGTTTTCGACCATTTTCAGTGCTTGGTTTTAAACTCTAAAGAAGCCATTAATTGGCATAATCGAGGCCTCGGGTTTACTAGTTGTCGACAACCGCACGATGTTCAGATCCAAATCCTAAAAAGGCCTTAAAAGCCTAAATCCTTTCCTAAAATGATCCCACTCCCTTTAAAAAGTCATTCGCGAGAAATTTGCATTGTCCGCCCGCAGCGATTTAGCAATTTTAATTTCAACCGTTCAGCAATTTTCCACTCCTTCCGGTCCTAGCCCCTTTTCCGCGTCGGTTTTGGTTTTTCATTCGTGATTTTTTCTGAATTGAAAGCATCCGGTTTGACCGCTTTTTCGTACTCTACGTTACACGTTTATAACCATGCTTTTTGCCGCGTAAAATCTCTTTTCAGATCCGATGTGGGAGTATCAGAATACGGAGGACCTCATCTACGTCTTCCTCATCCCACTGGTGGGTGTTAGCAGCTCTCTCTCTCCCTCCCTCCTTCTCTCTCGTTCTCGCTCTCTCTCGCTCTCTCTCTCTCTCTCCCTCTCCTACTTTTCCATTTAGATATGTATCCCGGGTCTCGTAGCTGCCACCGCTTCTGCCTACATCTTCCTGAGAATCCGCGCGTCCTCTCTTGACGTCTTGTTGTTTGGTGGGTGGAAAATTTCGGAACTTTAAGCCTTTTAAAGGGGCCGGTACACCAAAAATCCATTAGAAGATGCGCTAATTTTCAGGACTGTCTCTATTTGATGTGGTGCTCCTCGCTTGCTCGCTGACAATGTACCCTTCGTTGAATCGCTGCGCGAAGGAGGAGGAGCCGGTGAGCGGGAGCTTGGGCTGGGGGTTGGCTTGGCCTTGACTTAGGATGAAACGGGGCAGGGACGTGGGGAAAAGCTCGTCCTAAGCGGGAGAGTGGGCGAGTGAGAGTAAGAGAGAGACAGAGAGAGCGAGAGGGAAACGATTATGCAATGAACCCGGAATTTGTCCGCGCCACTCATTTCCACCTCCCCCTCAATGTGAGCAGGGGCTCACCGGGATTACTTTGCGTGTTAATGAAATTCGCAAAAATGCAGTTGGCGAGAGAGTGAGAGAGAGAGAGAGTGAAAGAAAGAGAGAAATAAAGGTAGATATAGAGATAGGTAATTTTCTAACCGTACGTTCCAGCTAAACGCAGCCGTGTGTCACTTTTTCTGGCGCACCACCACCGTCACGTATCCATTATCACTGATGGCGCAGGCAAGTAGATGTCTCTCTCTCACTTCTCCCTCTCTCTCTCTCTCTCCCTCCCTCTTTCTCTCTCTACCGCTCTCTCTCAGTCTCTCTCATGTTCTGAACTCCTTGAGGCATCGAACTTCAAATTTTTAGGCGGGTTCAGTGTGGACCTGCGTCGGGGTCACTGTGGATCGCTTCGTCGCCGTCTCATTTCCGATCCACAAAAGGTTGTGGTGCACGCCGGCGACCTCCTCGATGACGCTGGCCGCCGTCACGGGGTTTAGCATACTCTACAAATTGCCCGCGTTCTTCGAGATACAACTGGATGATCAGGTGAGAGAAAGCGAGAGAGAGAGAGAGAGAAAGATTAATTCAATTGAATCCAACGATTCCAGGGTCAAATGGTGCCCACCGCACTGCGCTACAACCCCACCTACCAACTGTACAACAACGTCGTGGCGTACTCGATCCTGATGCTCGTCATCCCGTGGACGATCATCATTATCCTGAACTTTATTGTTATACTACGGGTCAGTAATTCAGGCTTGATTGGGCCTGGCTTAGGCTTGGCTTAGGCTTGGCTTAGGCTTGCTTGGGCCTGGCTTAGGCTTCGCTTAGGCTCTGCTTACGCGTGGCTTAGGCTTGGCTTGGGCTTGGCTTAATCTTGGATTAGCTTAGGTTTAGGCTAGTTGATAATGTGTCAACTAGAAAGTGATTATCGTCATTTTCCAGGTACGCGAGGCGTACGGTAATCGGTGCAGCATGGCCCAACACTCCGTCCGGCGGTCCATCCGAAAACGCGACGACGCGGAGAGGTAAACAAGAGCTTTTTGAGCGCTATAATCCGCTAGTTTCTGACGCGTCGCGTGTGCGTTGCGACGTCTTCTAAACGTCAATTTTCAGGAGATGCACACTAATGGCTGTGGTGATGATCTCGCTGTTTTTCCTATGTAATTTCCCCTCACTGATCAACAACTTCATCGAGACGTTGTCGGATGGATTGGTGCGTTGTTCGCTCCAGAAATTTTATTCAAATTCTGCTAAAAATTACTGTATTTTTAACATATATTTTTTCAGATATTTCGCCATCGAATCCCGATCTCCAACCTTCTCGTCTGCGTGAATAGGTCAGCAAATAAATCTGATTTCAAGAATCAGTAAAATTTTCCTGTAACTGCCCCTTTAAACGTTCCTTTAGTGCGACGAACATCCTCATCTACTGCGTGTTCAACCGCAAGTTCCGCCGTGCCATCCAGGGGCTGATTGGGCTCAAGGTTAGTAGAATTTTAAAGGGACTGGAAAGCGGGCGAGTCGACCCCCTAGCGTTCACCAGGTGTCGAAAACTACGTACTATGCCAAATTACGTAGAAAAATGTCAGTAACACGCAAAAAATCGATCATTTGGTAACTGTGCGTGGGTGTGCCGCGTAGGTGCCGAGACGAGAGAGAGAGAGAGAGAGAGAGAGAGAGAGAGATAGAGGCGTCAAGCCTTGCCGGTCCATTTAAAAGCACGAATTTAACTTTCGACATTTTGACGCAGCAAAGTCCGGTAGATGATCACCAATATTCCAGTCGCAACCGTCCGACTCGGATTCCCGGAAGGGCGTACTCGAACGCGCCGGCTCGTACATGATCAGCGGGTTCGCGGTGCGGATGATGGCCGGGGCCGGGCAGGCCGCACAATGGCGCCATCGATCGCTCAATGGGTCCACGAAATCCACGCAGGTAGGTTCTGTTAATCTAAGCTTATGCAAAAGCGAATCTAAGCCGACGGGGAGACGTTTTTACTGTGCACGGAGTTTCGAAATGCGGTCATTTTGTGCAGAATTTCTCACAGATTCCGAAACTGTGTTCAAAATCTGCGAAGCCAATAGCTTGATCAAATTATCAAGCTCGAAAAAAGCGAAAAAAGCGATTTTTGCGCTTAACAATAAAAATAACTTAAATAAACTATCAGGTCATTTCGCAGATTTTACAAAGATATTCAGAATCTGCGCAAAATTCTGCACAAGATAGGCGCAAAATACCGTTTGCTAAAGTGTACCACAAATTCTAGACTCGATTCGGCGACGTGGCCACCCCACCCGAGGAAAGCCAATTGCTCGTCAAGCTCACGCCAGCTTGAAGATGTTGTTCTACCTTTCCAGCTTTTTTTTCATCTGAAATTCGGGTCTGAAAAACGCGGGTTAACACCTCCTCTTCCTCCTCCAAAAAAAAAAACACCAATGAACCAACAAAAATTGCCCAAATAAATTGTTTTAATATTTTGGTTTGTATTGTATATATTGATACTTTATTCTAATTCCACCTGCTCATATCGTGTCCAATATCCGGGGCACCGACATGAACAGCGACACCGTGGCGAACAGGATGAACGCCGAGAAGAAGAACAGGCAAAAACGGTCGACGACCATCGACGCGAACTTCCAGTCGTCCTGCAATCAAAATATCTATATCGGTCACTTAAAATACATTAAATGAGCGATATTGAGCTATAGGTATATATTTTTATCTATTAAAAACATCAAAAATTTTACCCACCTCGGTCTCCTTCTTTTCCTCTTGATCTTCAAAGTACGAGTTGATACTCTGAATGGGCAACGTTCAAGTTTTTAAAGTTTGAAATTTAATTAATTTATTTTTGAAATGAGCTTAATGAGCTAAAAATATAATGAGTAATCCAGTAGTACCCTATAACGAAAGTTAAATAGTTTTTCTAGCATTTACAAAAATTCTGAAATTTTCAATTTTGGCTCAAAATTTCGAAAAAAAACGGCCGAGTACCTTTAAAAACCTAGACATTCTAATTAGCTTAAACCTACCGTAAGATTATAGTATAACTGCTGCAAGATCAGCAACTGGGCGATTGCACCACCAGGCGTCGTGCCCTCCTTGCCGATGGTCGAGTACGTCGGCATCCAAGAGCCGCTGTATGAGTCGCGAGAATATCTGCGATTTTTTTTATTTTAAAGTATGTTTTCATCGCCTTATAATGATTATCTTAAAAAAAAATACCGATTATCCGTCTCATCCTCGATCTGCCACCGCGGACTGCTCACCGGGCTGTCCACCAGCAATTTGGCGAGCGTCGCCGACACGCAATGGCTGGCCCTAAAAAGTAGCATAGAAAAGCTCTGGTGCTTTTACGTTATCGGGGGGGGGGAGGGTTTGTTATGCTCCAATTTTTCTAAAGTTGAGGACGTGTTTCTGATGATTTTTTCCTAAAACGTGAAATCTTCACGAGTTTTTGTTAAAAAATACGAAAAAGGCTAGATTTTTCCACCAGAATGATCGATTCTGAGTTAAAACGTCAACTTTTTAGATAATTTGTGTCGTTAAATTTACCAAAATGGGTATCGTTATACTAAAATACTATTAATATGACGTTACCGGAATTTCTTGACTATAATGAAAAAATGTTACATCATATATAGAAAACGACAGATTAAATTAATAAACGAACTTACTCGTTCGTCACGTCCGGCTTATCCTTCCTCAAATGCCGACCGCGCGCTTTGTGCCCCGGGCGTCGCATCATCAACAGGTAGGGCAGCCACTCGAGCAACACTTTGCGAAACTTCAAAAGTATTGGTTTTTGGCCTGGGAAAGTTTGAAAGTTAAAGAGTTAAACGCACCAATTCGCCCATTTCGTGAGAGCGTGACGTGCGGTTGTGTAGGTTGAGCGCGAGCGCCGTGAACACGCACGACCCGGCGCACGTGAACATGCACAGGGAAAAGAAGGCGCCTGAAAATCGTTTTAGACATAAAGAAAACAGTCATGCTAGATTTTCGCTAGCTGGCCGGCTGAAAGGGAAGCGGAAGCCTTGCTCTAGCTCACCTAGAAACGGTATAGCCTCCGAGGTAGGTGGCGACAGCTCGGTGACGTAGTTCTGGAAGATGCAGATCGACAGCATGATCGTGATTTCTGAAAAATAGACTGCTAGACGGCCTAATAAATAAATTGTCAGTTTTTAGTTATCCTTAAAAAATTAAGTAAACGACAAATTGCGCGAGAAAACCCACGAAACGACATCTTTTCGCCGGCGTCTGGCGGCAGGGTAAACCCGATCAGCGTCAGCATCGTGATCAATATACACGGGAGGATCAGGTTAAAAACTAAAAAACCTTGTAGAAAGGTAGAATTTGCCCTAATTACCGTAAAACAACGAGCGCCGATGAATGGTAAACGTGAAGACGATGTCGTAATACGGCTCCGGGCAGCACGTGTAATATTGGGTGTTGCGTAGGGCGCTTGTGGCTGAAATTGAGGGTAAGATGGAAAATATTTTTGGTATTTTCGCAGTGTGTTTTTGGTAGTTTTCGGCTGGAAAAACGCACCTACGAGCTTCCACTCGCCGTTGCTCATAAATGTCGACGTATCCAGCCCATTTTCATCGACCCTCAGCTCAAGCTTTGTGCCGTCCCACGTCCAGGAGCCGAACTAAAATGGATCAGTAAAGCTTAGAATCAGCCTAGCTTTTCTGATCTTTTAATACAAAGAAATAAAAATATGAGGTCAAAGTATAAGAAATATACAAAAAGATGTTAAATCTTTCCTTTCGGTCGAAAAATCGCAATTTTCCATCGCTAATCTGTCTTTCATCAAAACGACGAAGTTGTTATGTCGGAAATGCAGGAAAACAATACATAAATACATTTATTTTCAATTTAAACGGTCAATCTCGGGCCCCCGAAGGCTAGTTTCCGTCGATAACGCGAAAGAACCGCAAAAAACAAACCTTCATCTTGCAATACTGCATATCAAACGGGAACCACACGATCTGAATGTTGCAGCTCAATCGAAATATCGCTAAAACGCGCACAAAACTTTCAATTTCAATTTAGAAACTAACCCGGCGGTATCCAGAGACAATTTCCGTCCGGATACACCAAGACGTTGGACGCGTGCATCGAGTCGAACTGCGGGTCGGCGCTGTTGTACATCAACACGTCCGGCGTCCAGATTTGGTTCTAAAGCTTTGTTTTTTTTCATAGCATTTATAAACCTTCCGAAACCGCAGATCGGAGACGCCGCCGTGCTTTTCCTTGTCCCACATCAAATGGTAGTCGTGCCAGGACTAAAGGAAAGTAGAAAAAACTACTAGCACCGACTTACCAGCTTCAACCAGGCGTTCACGTCGACAATTTGGTTCTTTTCGTCCTAAATCATGTTTTGAAGCGAATTCCAATTGAGGGCCGCAAATTTTCAGAAACAAAAGTAAAAGAGACGCTTTTGCATTAGCGGGGGGACGGAATTTTTCCTGCAATTCCAGATTTACCTAGTAATGTCATAAAAAGTCATTTTGCATAGTTTTTAACACAATTTGCTAGACTTTAAGCGGAAGAAAATATTTAGAAAAACAATTAAGCTGCTGGAAAGCGTGAAATTTCTGTAGAAATTTTTTTAGTATTGGGTGCTAAGGTGAAAACGGGTCTCGTGTGATTTGTTCGTCGCAAACTTCAAAATTGCTAACCACAATCTGCTGGGCCGAAATTACATATTTCGACATTGTTATATTCTACATTAAAGCCAAAACAATATAACTGCCCTACCACGGAGATGATGCTCTGCAAGACAAGCCCCATGTGCACGACGACAGCCGCCGACGAATTCTCGACAGGCCGCGCCAACGGCAAGTAGTCATCCAGCAACTGCGAATACAAGCGCCCCTCATGCCGATCCGCTCTGATGCTGCCCGTCCAAAACAACAAAATTCCAATTCCAAGCGGAATCCGGAGCAAAACCATGATGGCTACATGCTTCCGGGGGGATCAATTCTAGTGGCTTGCACCCCCTCATCTCACCCGGTCGGTCTCTCCTCAGCAAATAGGCCCTCAAGAGCCGCCCCGACCGATCGGACAAACAAATTTTTGGACCGAATTGGCAGCTTTTGAGAGGATGAATGAACAGAGTCTGGCCAGTAAGTCCAGCTTGACTTTCAGGAACGCGGCTCATCCGCTTCTTCGGAATTTATCTTCCGCCAGGCTGACGACGTCGTGGAAGCTGGTTTTTTATTTAGGCAGTGTCAGCAATTCAAAAGATTACAATGCTTACCAGTAATAAGATCGTTTTTATCAAATCCTAGAGCCAAAATGTTTCGGGATTTTTCAAAAAGTATAATTTAAACCTATTCAATTCCTATTTTTTCAAAATATTGAAAACTTCAACAAATAAATTTCCACTTTTTACTAATATTGTAGTTTGATTTTACCGAGTTGTACACTTAACGACCAACCGTCAATTGTATGCATGCGTTCTGCTCAAATTAATTTTTTTTACTTTTTATTTTCTTTTGATTTTTTGTAATGTCAAAAATGTATTGTAATGTAAAAACTTTACTTTTCTAAGAACTTCCTAGAATTCCCCTACCTTATCACACTGGAATCCACAAATCCCTGCAACCCCTCAGGGGCGTCTTTCTTCTCTCTCCTCCCAACCCCCTTTTTCATCATCTTTTTTGCGAACCTCTGCCCATAGGCATCGCGCGTTGCCCCCAATCCGATTTAACTGCCGTTTTCAGCACCTTTTTATGATCATATTTTACGGACACATGGTCATAATCGAACGTTGAAAGTCCTTCTAAAAAACAAACCAGTTTTCTGCTCGTATGCATTGACCCACGAGCACTCAGCGAGGCATTCGGGTGTAAAATTTGCGGCGTGAAGGTCGTCTGGGATCAACTTTTTCATATTTTTCACTCTTGATCACGATCACGAGTCGATTGAGGATTTTCCAGGAATCTACAAAACTGTCGCCGTTACCGGGTAGCTCTGGCCAGAATGATGTTAGATGGCGGCGCGGTCGAAGGCGTGCTTTACCTCGCCGATTCCTATAAGGTTTGAGATCATAAAATTCTGATGCATAATTTCTAGATAACACATCACAGCCAATACCCAGCCGGCACTTCCTACGTCTACAGCTATTTCGAGTGTCGAGGCGGTAAATTCCCAGAGGTTAGCTAGTGTTTCTTATCCCGATTTGTTAATTTGGGTATGCTTCTTCGGCTTGCAGTACATCATCAAGCGCTGGTTGTCGGGCCAAGTGGTGACGAAGGAACAAGTGCTTGAGGCGAAGGAATTTTACAAGGAACATTTCGGAAGCGACTATTTCAATGAAGAAGGCTGGATGTACATTGTTGAGGTAAGACAATTTCGACTACAGTTAAAACGGTAATTTTCAGAAACACGGAGGCCGGTTGCCACTTCGCATCTGCGCGGTCCCTGAGGGCTCGGTGGTGCCGGTGAAGAACGTGCTGTTCACCGTCGAAAACACCGACCCGGCCGTCCCATGGCTCACTAATTGGTTTGAGGTTTTCCACATCTTCTAAAAAATATTCTATCGTGTTTTAGACGCTCCTCGTCCAGGCTTGGTACCCGATCACCGTGTGCACGAACTCGCGCGCCCAGAAGGAGATCATTGCTAGGTAAGAGATTATTTTTAGCGTAAGGTCATCTGTTTAGGTATTTAATTGAGACGTCGGACTCGCTGGAAGGGCTTCCCTTCAAGCTGCACGACTTCGGTTATCGCGGCTCGACGGCAGTGGAGGTACCTTTTTGCCTGTGAAAGACCTAATTCGAACTTGTCGAAATTTTTGATATCGCAATTCCGGTTTTCCCGGAAGATTTGTGAAAACGAAATTATAAAATTTCGACACTTCGAAAATAAGCCCCTATTTCCTGATTTTAGAGCGCTAGCATCGGAGGTGCCGCCCATATGGTCAATTTCCAAGGCACGGACACGATTGCCGGGCTTCGAATGCTAAAGAAGTAGGATTTATACCTTTTCAAGACTCCTATTTTAGGTATTATGACTGCCCTATGGCCGGCTTCTCGGTGCCAGCCGCAGAGCACAGGTATCCCGAGCCTGATTTCCTCCATTACGCCCGTTTTCAGCACGATAACTACTTGGCAGAAAAGCGGTGAAGCCGATGCGTATCTGCACATGCTCAAGCAATTCCCCGGCGGGCCCGTTTCCGTCGTGTCGGACAGCTACGATATCTACAACGCCGTGGCCAACATTTGGGGCAAGCAACTAAAGGTAGAGCGACGTAATTTACGGCCAAACAAGATCTAGAATGCCGTGATTGAGCGCGCGCCTCGAGGGATGCTAGTGATCCGCCCTGATTCCGGGGAGCCGGTGAAGGTGGTGCTTGAGGTTGGCTTCTGACGAAATTAATCGATGTGAAATTATTTTAGGTTCTCAATCTGCTCTCCGAAAATTACCCAATAACGATCAACAAGAAGGGCTACAAGGTGCGAAAGCTTTTTGGTTGTTACTCTACTTTTCTAGATGCTCCCGCCCTACCTCCGCATCATCCAGGGCGACGGTATTTGCTACGAGACGATTGAAGAGTTGCTCAACAAGCTTAAGGTATTATTTTGAGGGGCACCTGGCACAATTTCGAATCGGAAGAAGATCGGAATCCCGAATTTTCAATAGGCTGAATTCCCCGGTGATCTTAACCTGGGTCTTTTAGTTTTCAGCCTATGGGAATTTCGAAATTCTGAAAATTCAAGATCCTCATCTTTGATGTTCCTGCTCGTACACGCCATTTTTTTTAGAAAGCCGGCTGGTCAACGGACAACGTTCTGTTTGGCACCGGGGCGGCTCTGTTGCAGAAAGTGAACAGGGACACGCTTAGATGTGCCTTCAAATGCAGCCATGTGGTTGTCAATGGGGAGGAGGTACCGAAAAATACCTGTATCGAAACTTTTATTTAGATTGACGTCTACAAGGACCCGATCACCGACCACGCCAAGCAAAGCAAGAAGGGTCGGCTGACGCTAGAGCGCAACGAGGCCGGCGAGTGGCAAACGTTCCAGGAGGGGCGAGGCGACGTTGGAAAGGTAATTACGTTATTCCGTAAATTTTGTGTGCAGAAAATCAGTACACCGAAATTTTGAAGGTGCCGAAATTCGATGCGCATAATTTTCGTTATGTGAATAATTTTTCCGGCTTTGAGTTATTATGACACCGGAATTCCCTCAACGGATTTCTGTTCAATGATTTTCGGCATATTGTTAAAAGGCCGTTCGATGTATGATTCTATTTTCTATTCAATCTTTCTAGGATGAGCTCATCCCCATCTTCGAAAACGGAAAACTCCTCGTCGACTGGACCTTGACCGAGATCAGGGCGCGCGCTGAGCTGGATTGTGTTCGACAGGTCCATTTTTCTGGCTTCTAGGATGATCTTGCTCTTTTTAGGCGCAGAGCACCGAAACGAACGGAGTCAATGGTAGCGACAGCCATCCTTGCGAGCTGGCCGCCGAATGATCTTGCCACTTTTCACTTTGCATCTCGGGTACCTCTTCCCCCATCTTCCACACTTTTGCCTACGGGTGCGTAGTCGTTTAGCTCAACTTGATGTGGCAATAAGATTTCCCTAGCAGGGCCGTTCCCCGTGAGTGTCTTAGCTAGCCAGTTGTTTGCGCTTGTCGAGTTATTAGTCATAGCTTTCATTCGCCCCGGTTGTTCCGTACTTCAAATCTCCTGACCGTTACCCTGATCTCACGACGTTCTAAATAAATGCTCACCAAGCCCGTCGCTCCAGTCACACTTTACGGTATACCCAGACAAATAACATTTGCAAGTACTGCGATCGATGAGAGATTTGGGCGAGCTTTGGCGAACATGATAGCTTCGTTGTTTTTTTCGATCGGGCCTCAGAATCGTTTCTTTTGCGTTCCTAGGTCCACACGCAGATGAGAACACGGATATTGCGAAGCGTCAGCTCCACCTTATGTAGAAGCGTCAGAAATTTGCCGGTTCAGGTATGTGTTTTTCGGTATCTTTGTTATACCACTTCCTTGATCATTCAAATGAAATCAAATAGAAGTGCTTGGATTTTGCGTAGGGGCTTCTTCTTTGAACCGAATCAACCTGAAATTATTAGTGGGTACGCAACTTCTTTGATCCCCCCACTGATTCGCATCCGATTCAAGCCTCAGAATCGTTCAGCATCAATTTTTATACCCTCCGATTGCATTTTCTAGTCACCCACCAGCCGAATCTGCCTCTTTTTAAGATTCCACCTGTTCCTTTATAGCAGTCTATCAGAAAAAAAACTGCAGAAACCGTATCCGCTCATTAGTTTGCCTAGTCTCCCCGCCGCGTGGGCAGGTGTTATAGGCCCGGTGAAACTCTGTCGGGCTACCGATCCCCCTAAGCCGTCTCAATTTTCACACGCCCTTTCCTCAACTTTTCCGCATTGATGGAAAACGAAAATAATATCCATGTTTCGCCAAAGGTTCCTTCAATTGTTTAGGTCTAGAAATACCTTTTTTAGGCGAGCGGAAACCGGCTGCGCCATGTCCACGAAACGGCCAAGAAATCGCTGCTTAGTGTCGACAGTTTTTCAAGGTAGCCATTGGGTTTGTAGGAGATCTTTTCGTTTAGAGTAGACCCACGGGCCGTATTTGTAAACAATGAGCTGAATCTGCGGAAGATTGATGTAGGAGCTTCTTCGTAGCTTGAGAAAGTATTTAGGTGTACGGTTTTGATTACGATTACACGCTGGCCGTCTACACGCGTGAGCTGAACGAGCTGATCTACAATCTGGCGATGCGGCGATTGATTCGGGATTGTCATGTTGGTTTTTTCGCTTGCACTGAAAAATTTTTGTTTTAGTATCCAGAAGCGCTGCTGACCGTCCCCTATGATAAGGAATTCTCGATCCGCGGCCTTCACTATGACATCCAAAACTGTGTGCTTCTGAAGGTGGACGCATTCTCACAAATACAAAAAGGTAATTTTGAGCTGTTTGGTTACTTAAATGTGCTTTACAGGGACGGCCTTTCGTGGGAAACGGCAACTAAGTGACGCAGAAATCCACAAGATCTACGGTGGAATTACGTTACCGGATGATAAGGGACGCGGATTGCCCCAACTGATGGACTTATTTAGGTAAGAATTTCGAGGGTTTGCAGAATCCATTTAGTTTGCCGTGGGCCGGCATCCTCGCAACGACAGTCCAATTCTTTGACGAGCGGAAGATCCATTTTGATCCACACAGCTTGTATCAGGACATTGCGGTTTGATTTGACAAATTTCTCTAAATGAGTTTTAGGAGTGTGTGAAACAGGTCCATGTCACCGGGGAATTATATAAAAGTGTGCTGAAGAACATTGAAAAGTTAGTCCCTTGGAAATGACAGTAATTTCATACTGATAGATACGTCCACAAAAATCCTGGACTGCACGAATATCTACACCGGCTCCATCAAAGCGGCAAAACACTTTTCATGGTCACCAACAGCCCATTTACTTTCATGTAAGCCGTTTGAGGTCTTTTTATCTTTTTTTTTTGCAGGAACGCGGGGATGACCTACATGCTGGGGTCAGATTGGAGGAAGATGTTCACCCATATCATCGTGCAGGCGCGGAAGCCAAGCTTCTTCCAGGTGCTTTTGGGCCTGTTGAATTGAACGCCGAAGTTTAGGGCCATACACCTTTCCGCCTATTCAACGAAGAGTCGGCCAAACTGCACTACGGGAAGGTCACCGAATTCGAGCCGGGCCGTGTATATGCCGGGGTAAAGAAACAAAAGCCAGAAAAACTGTTGGCTTAGGGCAACATCGGAGAATTTGCGTTGCGAGCAAATTTGACCGGGAAGGGCGTGCTGTATTTCGGTGACCACATCTACACTGACTTGGCGGATCCGATGCTGAAGTGAGAAACTGTTGTTTTCAAAAAAAATCGAAATTAGGCTCGGCTGGCACACGGCGGCCATCGTTCCCGAGCTGGCACGTGAGATCAGGGCGCAGAATACCGACGAGTATCGGTGAGTACTAGTAGACTTTGGGTTTACAACCCTAGTTTTTTTATTTTTCAATTGGGTTGATTTTTTATTCTCATTTTTTTAGACGGAACATCCAGTGGTTGGAAACGCTGACGTATCTGATGTCAAATTTCCAAGGCGACGGGCGCCGCAACACCGAATGCGCCGCAATCATCAATGAATGGGCCGAAGAGCGCCGGAAATTACGGTTTACCTTGTTTTTGATATTGAGAGTTTCAGTTTAGTGAAAAGGTGAAAACCGTGTTCAACCCGCAGTTCGGCTCCATGTTCCGCACCTACCACAATATGACCTACTTTTCGCGTAGACTAATGAGGTACGCCGCTAAGAGTCTAGCGTCTATTCCTGAGCTTCAGATTATCCGACGTCTACACGTCCCGTCTGCCCAATCTCCTCAAATACGACGTCGACCATGCGTTCTTCCCGCGGCGCAACGCCCTACCCCACGAGAGCCTGAATGCCGTGCCGACCGTGTCGGAGAACATGATCGAAGAGATTAACCGAAACCATACCAGCCAAGTCGGATAGTTTATTTGTTCGCTAGCCAATTTCGGACCTAATTTTGAAAATTTTCGATGTTGGATATGTTGAGTTAAAGTTTAATATATTTTCCATTTTAGGTAACGCCCGTAATTGATATTTGTTGATCAAGAATTTGTCGTGCGATCCATGTATTCACCCCCCATTATTTCTGGTGTTATTTTGATGTGATAGGTTGAACGAAAGTCCCCACTATCTTTTTTCCGCTCCTATGCCATATTGTTGCTACTTACCCTATCGTATAATTGTGCTCTGTGTATGTCGATGTGATGATTCGCGGCTTTTTCTGGTGTTTTATAGCCCGGTAAAGTTTGGATTTACGCACGAGGATTACACGGTATTATGAAGCTTGCCTGGAGGGATTGGAAATTAGGACCTTTCAGATCGCCCGTTTTTGAGCAGCTACCCGCGCTTTTGCTGGAAGTACGCCATTTCCACGCGGAAATCGTCGCCTCCCATTCCGGTGCCATTTGTCGCGCCATAAAAGCCGTCTGCCCGGAAATGGTCCTCTTGGCGGTTGTTTTGTTTTTACGACCTTTGCTCCAGATCAGTTCAACAGGACCACACGTGGTCTAAACGACTTTTTACTGTCGAGGGGTTTCCCCCCTACAGATAGCCGTGCCCTCGGATAAGTTCCGAGGGAAAGTCGAATGAGCCTCTCTTTTCCCTCGGCGGTGACGGTCAAAGGGGGGTGGGAACTGAATGTCACAATATCACAAAAGGAGCGCCACCTCGAGAGGGGATTTACTCGCAGCAGGTGGTGCACGGCGTGCCGGGCGGTGAAGCGACGTTTCAAACCATTCCGATCTCGACGGCTCAGCTGGTATCTTTTGGTCTGGATGGCTCGCGAAGGCTTCGTGCGGCGGATCTGTTTAGCGGTCTCATTTTTGGTCATCTACATCTGGACTTTTGTGACTAAAGATCTGCCCCGATTCTTTTATATAAGAAAGAAGGATATAACTGGAGAGGTGGGTGGAAGAATTTGCGAAGATCCTTAGCTTTAGGTCCTGGTAATAACAGGAGGCGCCCTCGGGATCAGCAAAAATATTGCCCAGAAACTGGCGTTAGAACATGGAGCTAAAGTGGTGATCCTTGACGTTAATGAGGTGAGCAAATGGGCGTTTTCGTACCGTCCTCCTTCTAGGAAGCAGGTAACGCGACCACTAAAGAAATCGTGGCCAATGGTGGCATTGCAAAGTTCTTCAAATGTGACATCTCCTCGGTCGAGCAGCTGCAAAAAGTTCGCCAGGGCATCGAAGTCGACCTCGAACTTGGTACACTCAAATCAGCCCCGAAAACAGCAAACATCTCTTCAGGGCATGTTGACATACTCATCTGCAACGCTGCCATCTTGAAGTTTGGCAAATTGGATGCGCTCTCCTTTGATGATTACCGAAAAAACTCGGATGTCAATATTTTGGGCCATATTTTCGTGAGCTTGGCCCCAACGCAATGTTCAGCACCATTTGCAGTGCGTCAAAGTGTTCTTGCCGATGATGCTAGCCCGGAATAAGGGCCATATCGTGTCGATGGGTTCCATTTGCAGCCATTTCGGGGAGAATCTCGGGACGGCATACTGGTAAAGTGGCGGCACGGTGTAAGCTTCGGTTTAGCAGCGCCAAGTTCGCATGTCGCGGCTTTATGGAGGCCCTGCGCATGGAGCTGATGGATGACGGCCGCTCGGACATTGAGACCACGTCGATATACCCTTATTTTGTGCGGACCGGTTTCATCCAGGAGCTCGGCGAACCGTTTAGCACGTGGGTCGTGGCGCTGCAACAGCTGATTATGACAATATCACCACTTCAGGTTCTGGAATGTGCTGTCCGTAGAGCGGGTGGCTACAGAGACGATTGATGCGATTCTGAAGCGCCGTATGTCACATTTCATCCCCGGTGGCCTTTGGTGGCTTTGTGTCGTGGCGAAGGGGTAGGTGAGCTGAACTTTTGCCCAAAAGATTCCAGGATGATAACTAAAAATGTATTGGAACCCGGGAGAAGAGTCTTCAATTTTTCTTATCGACCAAAGGTTTAGTTAGCCGCTATTCTAAAACGTTGTTTAGGGATCGGCGAATGGAAAATCGGAAGCCGGAATTTTCAAAGTCTAGCTGGCTCGGGAGGTCTGTTCAAAAATTGCTAATAAAGTTTTGGTAAATCCTGCCCGACGCGTGCGGCCTATTAACACGAACAGTCAACCGCAGCTTGTTCGGCAAGTTTACAAAATGAGCATAGGCCGTAACAATCGCACCCATAAATTGCCTCGACCCCAATCAAGAAATTTATTAAAACTTTACATTACGAGACATGGACAAAATTCGATAACAACGACAAATGAACCATAGTTAACAGACGAACAAAAGTGCTAGTAAATGAAATGATGTATCATGGCTCGTCTTTCAAGCATTGGGAATTTGCGCACCCGGTCAGTTGAAGGTATTTCTTGGTACGTGCAGAGCCCTCCTTCTTCACGACGAGCCGCGACTCTCTACAAAAACGGTTTCATAAAGCAGAATATAAAATACCTTTCTTCGGGGCTTTTGCCTGATCATCCTCGCACTCAAACGCGGAGAGGCCCTTCTTCAGTCGTTCTTCTGCCTTCTCAATGTGCTCGTTGCCTTCAATAACCTAAATTTAAAGTTGCGAAAAGCAGTTAAGTCATACACAGGCCTTCAGCCGAGCATAGCACTTCCGCCGGTACGCGTGCAGCGCCTGTAAAAAGCGATTGAGAGAGAGAGAGAGCAATAACCAACGTCTTTGGAATTCTTCGTTTCGACGTCGTAGTCAAGGCCATAGACTGCTGGTAGCTCCGGCGACGCCCACTTCCACACACACGCGTCGTTGTGCTAAATGAACGCAGTTCTCTCAGCAAGATTTTCATCGTACCTTGTCCTCAACGAGGTGGCCGTTCGCGATGGCTTCCGAGAAGGCGAGCACAAATGCTCCGCATTCGTAGAGGTTACGCTGGCCGCAGAGTTCGCGCACTTCCCGGAATCTGTAACCAAATTACTACAAAGACGGCAGCCAAACCCGAGTTTCGGAAACACGAGAAGGCAGGGGTTTCCGAACAGCGCCAAGCCGACCCTCAGTAACGGCAGTAGAAGGTCCTCAAAAAACAGAGTTGCTTATAACAAAAACAAAACCAACTTTGATATTCACGTGAATTCCGCCCAGGACTTCGTTGGTCGGAAAGCCCTTAGCCAATTTCGTATTGTGCAGCAGGGAGTCGAATACGTAGATCCTAGGCGGCGCCATTTCCTGACGGGCTTGACAGTTGGCTTTGACAAACGCACCGAACCGTGCGAGAAGCACCATATACCTGAAAATAGCCAAGGCCATGTTTAAATCAAACCAGTGGCGCTGTGTTTCGTCGAAGACCAGCAGTGAGGTGTATTCCGTAGCATCATCGGCGAAGATCTGCTTGAGTACTTCATGCTGCAGAATCCTTTCACGACTTCTTTCGTTCTAAACATAAACTAGGTAAAGGCTAAAAGACCACTCACCATTGCGGCCAAACAATTTGCATCCTGGAAAGCAGTAGCATTAGTCTCCTTGGCGAGGAGAAGAAGCTTCTGAGTCACGGCGTTGTCGTAAAAGCCGAGTTTGCCGCGATTGCTAAAACTAGAATCAAAGGAACATCCAAATTACCCGGGAGAAGCAATCCAATTCTCCAGCAGCGCGACAAGGGTTGAAGTCGAAAGGTACTTCTGCTGCAGCAATCTGGTCAGCACGTCGGCTTCACGGCGAATGCCTTTGCCCACGCTGTTGGGTAACTTTATCAGCACCTAGAAAGGCACTTTGTAATAATTGAGGGGGTTACCGTTGGGATTTCGTCCACTTTTTTCGCGATCTTGGTTGGAGGTTCGTCGTGGTCACTATCATCAGATAGTTCGATAAAATCGCCTTTCTAAAATGAAATTATGCGATAGCGAAACTAACACACCCCTGAATTTTCCGCCCTGTATAGCGCCAAGAACTCTGCCTGGCGGCCTGGTTCCATGGGCTTCGACTCGAGATTGGGCAGGTTATCCTTGATGTGGCGCTCGATGCCTTGAATTCTCCGCGGATTGTGGATGATGGCGAGCCAGACATTTGGATGAAAACGCAAGAAGAGCATTTTTGTCCCCGGCTTCTCCTCGAAGTCAACGGGACCCTCTAGGTATACGGGCTCGTCCTAAATAAAATGATTAAAAAGACCGATGAGATGTACCTTGAGATCGTGAGCGTAGTCTCCAAACCTAGTTTCCGCTATCACTATGCGTGTGCCGTCAATTTTCACCTAGTAAAACCGTTGAGCAGAAATACGAATGCCTACCAGTACATCGTACTCCAGGCCGGGCCGAGGGCCTTTGTCCCGCACGAGGGCACACTCAATGATCATAGAGATCTAGAAAAGGATGATGAAAGAAATGCCAGAGGGGCGTATAGGAGCGCAATCATACAAATGATGGAGGAAGGAAGAACAGAAGTACGCGAGCGCGCCAAAAAAGAAACTGAAAGAGAATGATGGTCGATCCGATCCGATCCGTTGCAGGTCCCGCAGGGAAAATCCGTAATTTGGAGCTCTGCGGTCGGCGTTTATCATTAGTAGCGAAATGGAATCGACCCACTGTAGAAATAAACCTTTCGCAAATTCGCAGTTCCGAAAGATTTCGCAAATTACGAGACTCTTTCTTACCAAAATGAACAGTTTTTACCAACGAAAATGTCTGCGAATTGAAGACACAACGGGCCGGGGTAAAAATACGCCTGATTGTGAGGTTCGACAACCGCGCGAAAAAGAGTAGCATAAAACTGAAGCTTTGAGGTCCACATTTCTGCCAGGTTTTTGGCGGTTCAAATTTCTGTGGCTCTGCGTGGTGGTTTTGTACTTTTCTAAGTCTAAGTTTCCGCCTGTTTGTGCGGGTTCGCGGCTTTGGGCTTAGGACACTCCGATGAAATAAGAAAAGATTTATACACGCGAAAACGGCAACACACCCATAACATATGTACATTTTGTGCAGGTACCTGTAGCTTGTTTTTTTCGATTTTTGCATGCACAAAAGTTTGAGAGGACACAATAAATTACCGGGGGCACAAATCAACAATCAAAATCAATGCCGGGGGCTTTTTGGCGGGGGTTATTTTTGGGTTTTCATATATGTACAGCGTGGATAGTGAGGGGTAAGGGTTGATTTCGTCTAGTTTAGTCCTTCATCCTGTAGTCGGAGGCTTTCAGGTGGGAGAGGCCGCCCTCTGAACGAGAATATTTGCGGCAAGAATGATGGTGACTTACCGTCGTTGACCTGGCGCTGGAGCCGCAAAATTTCCTTGAAGCGTGAATCCTAAAAACTGAGGCTGTTATGTCGCTGCTGAGTATACAAATGATTGATTTGTAGGTTTTTCAGGCAACTTCTACGTTTCGAAAGTCGTTTTGGCTTTTTGGGGCCATATGACCGGTTTTTTCTGTTTTAGCGCTAGTTCAGGCAGTTTAGGTTTTTCGCGCCTTAAACACGTTTGCTAACTCCACGCGTGCCCACCTCGGTGACGGAGCCCTTGCGCTCCTCGACGACCTCGGTCTTCTCACCCCAGGTGAAGCGGCGCTGGCCGGGCGACCCGAAGATCATCTCGCTCAGCGACATGCGGCGTGTGCGTGGCGGTTCGGCTGAAATCGGTTCGCTTGACGGGTTTTCTGGGGTGATTTCCTAGAACTTTAGTAAGAAAGCTTATCGAAATGTATTTATTTTCGGCGGTTTTGGCTCGGCAAAGCTTCTCTATATTTTATGACGCTGAAATAATCCTATTCCAGGCTCATCTAGTAATCTTTAATTATTTTTTTCTGGGAACGTATTTATTTAGATAATTCTGTAGGCGGTTTTGGATAGCTAAGCTGCCGGGATAAAATCTATTTGAATTTCCATTTAGTGCTTTTAGGGCTATAATTTCTTCCTTTAGCTATTCGTCTCCCGTTTTTCTACTTAGTTTAGATAACTTTGCTTAAATAATTCTTCTGGGGAACAGCCTTTTTATGGATATTCTAGGGGATTCGATCGGATTTTTAATTTGTTAAAACTAATATAACTTGAGGTAACTTTTAGGTAATATTTTCCCACCTCCGACGGCCATCCCCTTGTCCATGGCAAAGTCGGTGTACTCGGCGCTCATTTGGGCAGTGGGGGAAGTAGGGCCTGAAGCACCCAGGTCGGAGATCGAGATTCGTCGCATCTCGTCACCGTCGCTATCGGTGCTGAGGGTGCGAGAATTCTTTCTGCAAAAGCTCGTATATACAGTATACTTTTTAATAGGCTTCTGCCGAGGTATCGTTTAAAGAAGAGCCCAAAACATTTTGCATACCGGCCGCCGAACGAAGGCTTCCAAAGAACGTCGATGTTGTGGTATGTGGGGGCATACTGGAAAGGTATTATTATCGTGATAATTATCAAACTATTTCAGTATTTTTAAGGCCTGTAAGGTACGCCGTGGGATACGCGAATTATATGGGGGTTTTTAATAGCTATTAACTTCATGGAAATTTCTTTAGGTTCGACCTTGTGGAAAATTTTTGAAAATTGTGGAAATTCGTTTTGTCCAATTGTTTAAAAATGCTCAATCTTTTAGAAAAAGATAAATTTAAGGTTTTAGGGTTCAAAAATTAATTTGGTGTCAAAAAAGCGTAAACCAAGGGTGTAAAAACAGCAACAACTAGGCCTTATAAGGTAGAACTGTTTTCCACCACGGTATTCCTCCCCCCCGTTAAGTAACCTGTACTCGAATTTTGAGATCTCAACCTCTTTTATATTCCCCCCCGTTAAGCAACCTTTATCAGAACTTTGAGTGGCCCTGGCTCGTGAATGCCCTCTAGGTTCCGCTCGTTAAATTATCCTATTTCCACCCCGGTATTTCACCCCCCCCGTTAAGTAACCTTTACCAGAATTTTTAGTGCCTAGCCGGTTTAATGCCCTCTAGCTTCTGCCCCCATAAATGATTCTATACTTGATCCTGCTTCTCGTGGGCTGGCGGAAGGATCACGGGGCGCACGTCGATCTGCCCAACCAAATCACTTACAGTCGGCGCTCGGCTCTCGGACATCCTGAATGGTGGATCGTGGTACGGTAATGCTCAGTAGGGAGTACGGTAGAAGGGTGAGAATGGCGGGTAAGGAATTTCAGGGGCTAGTGGGGCACTTTTGGATATTTATAGCTGGCAGCTTCTAGAGGGGGGAGGAACCCCGCTGCAGAATCCGGTAAACAAGATAGGGAAGAGGGTGCGGAGAGAGAGAGAGAGAGAGAGAGAGTGGAGAAAGAAACAGAAAAAAAAAGAAATGAAAAAATGGAGCCTTTGCCCCAGCATCACGAGGCAGAAATAGGGGCGTGGAGGCCCATCCGGACAACAAAAGGACAACCCCAGGGGTGGCCGGGGGAACTATGGCCTATGCGGAGGTTTTAAAGCGATCGGTAAGGCAAGGCTATGGATTTTGCCGCATCGCGACACGGACGCGATTTTAGTAAAATTTAAATAGGGTTAAAGCGGAAAAACAATAAAAAATAAGAAAAATTTCTTTGGTGAAATTTAGGTGGAAAATCCATTCTATATTTTTTTTGTCCAGAAGGATAAGTAAGCGTTTTAGTAGTGTTTTGAGTCAATTTAACTATATTTTACGTGGAAAACAATCAAAAAATTGCAGCTAAAATTCGGGTGGAAAATTGGCCATTTTTGGGCGAAAAATTGCTCGCTCAGGCGATTAAAAGGTATGGTGCCAGTAGGGCGAAGCGAAGCAACTAGCGGAGATTCTTAGGGAAATATGAAACGGATGTGTAAGGCAAGTAGTTTAAAAAAACTAACTTCGAATTTACTTAAACAATCAAAGATTCCGTAACTATAACAATTACGATAGATTCCGTATTACCGTAGCCGGTAAGGGCTTTTTAAAGGGACCTGGGAGCCCGAATTACAGTACGCTAGGATACACTTTGCTTTACTCATTACGACCGGATATTCTGGATTTAATCGCTAAAATCGCATGAGGAAAGACTTGGGGATCCAAATGGCAAAAGCATCGCTTGGTATCAGGTTGGAAAGAAAGTACTGGCACAAAATCTTTAAACCGCTGTAAAAACCTGCAGGAACGTCCGATTTGAAAGTTTGATATATGGTTTGGTAGATCTTCGGATGCTCTATCACGAGACGACCCTCAAAACGCACAAAAACTGACGGACGCGAAAATAAAAGCCTCAGAAGTTTCGCAGAAAATTAGGTGAAAGCTTCCAAGCTAGATATCTCTGCATACAGGCATTTGCATACGATACTTTTAACACCAATCGATAGCCCTCGAGGAGTAGATATCGATAAATGTTGAGATCATCAAAATCGGACACTGGATGGCCGAGATATGCCCCCTAGAAATTTGGTCGACTTCTTAGAACTTTTCTCGAAATCCCATACATTTTGGCCTGTGCGAGCCAAAAACTGCTGCGTTTGCTTCAGCTCCCGAACGAAAATCCAGAAAATGCATTGATTTTGGAAGGCCCATATCTCGGACATCCAGTGTCCGTTTTTGATGATCTCAACATTTATCGATGTCTACTCCTCGAGGGCTATCGATTGGTGTTAAAAGTATCGTATGCAAATGCCTGTATGCAGAGATATATAGCTTGGAAGCTTTCACCGAATTTTCTGCGAAACTTCTGAGGCCTTTATTTTCGCGTACATTAGTTTTTGTGTGTTTTGAAGGTCGTTTTGTGATAGAGTATCCGAAGATCTACCAAACCATATATCATACTTTCAAATCCGACGTTCCTGCGGGTTTTTACAGCGGTTTAAAAATTTTGTGCCATTACTTTCTTTCCAACCTGATAGTTATGTCCTAAATTGTTAATTCTCAAATGATCACTGCAAGTTCGGCCCTGTTTTCTCACTCATAGATCCTCAATTTTCCGAGTTCTCAAATGGCCTTTGCAAATTTGCGCCTTTTCCTAGCTATCCGGCTGCCTGATTTCACAAGAGCTTCTCGTGGGGGCCTACCCCCCAAGATGGCGATCGATCGATGGGGGCACTCTGCCCTTTCTCGCCTGAAGGCCTTGTTTTCGTGCCTATGGCCCTAGAAATCCGCTAAGGGAAAGGGTGGAGAGTATAACAGAAATTGGGGGGAAGGTCACAAGGGTGAGCGTGGGAAGCGATGGTTTTGTGGACACGGAGAAGCAAAGCAGCAAAAAGGGGCCAAGCCCCCCGAGTGCTTATTTGCCGGGGGGTCGGGCCGGCGCCGCGTGCTCGCTCTTTTCAGCTTGCTTTTTATGTCTGGCTGACCGTTTGTCGGGCTCTCTCTCTCTCTCTCTCTCTCTCTCTCTCTCGGTCTCTCTCTCTCTCGCTGCCTGCGCGTTTTTTGAACGCGGGCGCGCCTGCTGTTTTTCCGACCCTCCGACCCCCTAAGCGAGCGATTTCAGAACTGCAGAACAGTTGCTGGGGGTATTTACTGGTACAGCGTGTTGTCGACTACCTGAGATTATTGTTGCCCTAATTTGGACACTTTAAAGGGACTGGAAAGGCATAGAAAGCTCTTTAGATTTCAACGAATATTTTTTAGCCATTCAAAACTGTATGTTAATTACAAGTTTAATGTAATTGTTAGAGCCTACCTTACGAAAGTATGTTTATCCTGAAGGAGTAGACCTAAGTATAAGCTAAGCCTAGCCATGTCAAAGCCAAGCCTAAGCCAAACCTAAGCCAAGCCTAAGCCATGCCTAAGCCAAGCCTTAGCCACGCCTAACGTAACGTACGTCTAGGCTAAATCTGATCTAAGCCTAGCTAAGCCTACCCAAGTCGAAGCCTCCGTCCGAGCTAAGCCTATGCTAAGCCTAATCTGAGCCGAAAGTTAGCCTTGGGCCGAAGCCAGGCAAGTCAGATAAGCCAGTCGGCCAATCAGGTAAAGGCGAGGTAGCGCAGATTCTTTAGGTACCTTCAATTTGGTTCTATGAAAACTTTAAATCCCTACACCGAACCTCAAAATGCATCAAAAATTGACAGAAAATTCAGATTCAATTCTGGAGGGTCACTTTCCGTTCTGTTAGCCCAGCTGGCAATTTCATCAGCTGACCTCCCGGGCAGCCAGAAACAAAATTAAATATTTAACTGGAATTTTTCCGGTTTATTGGGAGCTGGTGGGTTCATATAAAATTGGCAAAATCGGATGGAGAGGCAGAAAAGTATAATCGGACGGGGATGTATAAAAACTGAGGGTATAGATGTGGCGGGGGTAGGTGATGTCTGGGGTCTCTTGATTCACTGACTCTCTCACGAAGGGCCCCCCAAAAAAGGAGGGGCAAAAGCTGTGCCATGTGATGGGGGAGAGGGGCCCGAAAATAGAAGTCGTCGGCAAGAATTATTTAGACTTTGAGTAATGGCAGGTGGATAGAGAGAGAGAGAGAGAGAGAGAGAGAGAGAGAGAGAGCGAGTGAGCGAGAGAGACAGGGTGAGAGAGGGCGACAGAGCGATAGACATAGCTAGAATAGAGACAAGATATAGCGCTTGAGGCGGAGAGAGAGAGAGAGGGAGAGAGAGAGCGAGGGAGAGAGAGGGAGAGAGAGGGTGAGAGTGAGAGAGTGAGAGACGGAGAGAGACTCAGAGGTAGAGAGAGAAGCGAGAGAGAGAGAGAAAGCGAGCGAGAGAGAGAAAGAAAAAGAATAGAGAGTGACATAGCTAGAGAGAGAGAGAGCGAGAGTGCGAGAGAAATCTCACTGCCTCAATTCATAACAAAAATTCCCCCAGAAAGCATCAGGGGTCTCGTTCCAGAGTGTCTGGCAATCCGTATGCCCCCTTTATCACGCGAGTTCATCTGACCCGGGCTATCAGTTGTGAAGGGCGGACGCGGGGCACAGTGCTGCTGTACTCACACCAAACATCCAAGTACCCTCGAAAATGGCTTAAAATAATATTAAAAATTCTAGATCCGAAAAATAAATCGAAATGCCGATAATTCAAAATACCGGCAGCTTAATCCCGACAAGAAAGGGGTGTTTTAAAAGTAGCAAAAATAAGGCCCTGGGCTACGAACCTTTCCGTTTTTACGCTAAACGTAAAGCTTCACAGTCCTGTTAATTGCATCTCGAGTGGTCCTGCAGTGATTGCAGACCCCCTTGCCCTTTTTCTAAATCACCAACTGTTCGATCGGCCGTTGGGGGATCAACAAATTCCAGGGCAATCCGCTCAACTACACACCTCGGTGGAAACACGATCGAAAAAACGCCGCCGATCGCCTCAACCCCGGAAAGATCGTCGAGGTCATTCGGCGCTCTTGGACTGGCTGTGAAAAAGGGAGCTCACGGGATAGAATTTGGACCCAAAAAGCACGTGCAAAGCCACAGTATCACATCGCTTTTTAAAGGGATAGTGACGAGAAAAAAAAAATCGTAATTTTTCATTGGAGAGAGACACCCAGAGAAGAGAGAGCAAGAGAGAGAGAGAGCGAGAGCGAGAGAGAGATAGAGATAGAAAGAGAACGAGAGCGAGAGAGATAGAGCTAGAGAGCGAGAGAGAGCGAGAGAGAGAGAGAGAGAGAGAGAGAGAGAGAGAAAGAGAGAAAGAGGGAGAGAGAGTGAGAGTGAGAGAGACATGGTAAAATTCGTATTTCTAGCACCAGCTACAGTAGTCTATCAAGAACCCAAAGCATCGGTAATTAATAGCTACCGTATCCCGCGAGTTTTAAAGGGATGGTGACACCCAAAAATCGACGATTTTTCTACGGTAACCGTTTGCCGAAGGATTTTAGAGGATGAAAGCTTGGTTTTGGAGCCTACAGTACCCCCTAATTTCCGGCTTATCATTTTGGAGAGGTCGCGGTTGGTTTTCAGGTGTGGGCAAATTTCCCCGGCCAAAAATTTGCCCCGTCAACAACCCGCATTAATCCGTTTATCTTTTTTTGGATGGGGGTTGAAAGGGGCCCCCATTGGAGGAATTCTAAAAAATGGAAAAATTGGACTTTTTACAAAATAACCTAAAGCCAAAAAAGGTCTAAAATAGTGTCGAGCGTGTCGAAATGCAATGTCTTTCAGAACAATTTTGAGAATTAAAAATCCTACGCAAAAAGCGCAAATTAAGACTTTCTAACATTTTGAAACGAAAACAACGAGATTCGGGCCTATTTGATGCCCTTTCCCTGGTCAGCCGGCCCCATAAAAGACATGGGCTGTGCATTGGAAAGAATGGAATTTCGATAAGTCGTCCTCGTCTCCTCTTTTACCCTCTTTTGGGAGGCCGGGCCCGTTTCCCACAATAACAAAACCAAGCCGCGGCGAAAATAGCCTCGACTCTCGGGTAGCAGTGAGGACAAGGCGGCATTTGCAAAGATCTGTTGCTTTAAAGGGACGGGCAAGGCAGACAGAGAAAGAGAGAGTGGAAGAGAGAGAGGGGGAGAGCGAAAGAGAAAGAAAGAGATAGAGAGAGAGAGAGAGAGAGAGAGAGAGAGAGAGAAAGTGAGAGAGAGAAAGACAGAGAGAGAGCGAGGGTGAGAGCCAAAAACCCACCAATAGGCCATAAGCCGTCCCAAAGCTTCTCGTTAGCTTCTCGAGCTCAGGCCCACGCTTTTGGTCCCTGCTCTTCCTTCCCCTATCAGCTAGCTGGCCAGCTTCCCCGTCGCGGGTCCTGGAAAGTTTTTTGGTCCGGATTTTTGAGGGAAAACCGATAAAGGAAACCACATGTGAAAAAGGCATGGAGATAAGGTAACGATTTCTTCGTTAGAATTGGAGAAATAGTGGAAAAACTAGAAAAAGGGTCTAATAAATTAAACGAGTTAAGGTTTGCTGTGACAATGATGTTTTCTGGCCTGCCCTCTCCCATCAGGAGTTTCTGCTAGCCTGCCCCTTGCCCTTCCTCTCTCGCTGCTAGCTTTCTTTCTCTCCTCAATGCTCTCTGCTAGCCACCCCTTCCACCAAGATTTCTGCTAGCCTACGCACCCCCGACCCGCAACGCACACGCTCGCTAACCGGTTGCGAATATAGCCGAAAACCGTGAACTTCCAAAATTAAAAAAAAATCGAAAATAGCTTAAGTAATGAAAATATGAAAAATCCGTGAGTACCTCCGGCTACGCTACGCACCCATCGCCACCCCGTATTTTGTACAACGAAGCTGAAAATAACCCCAAAAACCTCAAACGTTTCCACGTGCCAATTTCGACGACCCGTTTTAATCTTTGGCGCCTGGCTCTGTTTGCAGAGTGCCCGGAATCGGGCGGTTGGTTTGGGGTTTGGTCATTTTTTGGCCATTTTCTGGTCGACCCCTCCCCAAAAAAATGCGATAAAAAGCGGCACGCGGTTTTGATATTGTGGCGTTTGCCCGTATTAACGAGGAAATAAAAAACTGTTTAAACAAGAGGTTATGGGCGGGAAAAACACCAAAAATCGGAAAATACGGTAACTTCGTAATTTCATTAGAATTTTTTTTTGGGGTCGTTTGAGCATAAGAGGCTCCAGATCAAAACCCATTTTTGCGGATTCAAGAATCGAGTTGAGCCGGACAAGCTTGAGCTTAATCTAATCACGTTAAACGCTAAGTTAAGCCTAGAGCGAAGTCGAAAGCTAAGCTGCTTAAGTGGAGCGTCTCGTAGCCTGTAACTGCTTTGCTAAACCCAAAATAAAAGTAAAAAGGTATGGGTGATTTAAGGGGACAGTGACAGGGAGAGGGACAGCGAGAGAGAGAGAGAGCGCGAGATCGAGAGACAAATAGAGAGAGAGATTGAGAGCGAGAGAGAGAGAGAGAGAGAGAGAGAGAGCGAGAGAGAGCGCGTGAGGGAGGGAGACAAAGATGTGAGAGAAAGCGACAGGCACTTTCCCTTTAAAACTCAGCCTCGCCGCTTTGCAACAAGAAATGGTCCGATCCGCGCACAGCCCAATTTCTGCGAACCAAAAAAATCCGGGGCGTCTAGCTGCTCTCGGGGGGTTGGTCAAAATGGGCAGGCAAGGTCAGAGATTGTGGCGAGAGTGAGAGCGAGAGAGAGCGAGAGAGAACCATAACAGTGTGGCCTGCTTTTTAATCGGTGCCGCCGCGAGAGTAGCCCCCCCTTCGTGCAGAGCGATGCGGTGTAAAAGCGTTCTCCCCGTATTTTGCACGTTTGCCATTTGGTGTTGGGTGTAAACAGATCGGGTTACTGGTTATAATCTATACCGAAAACATTGTATTACACTCGATTTTGTTAGCGATCGATAGATTTTTTCATGGGATTTTTCATAAAGAGAATTCGAGATACGGAGGATGAGCTTGAAATTCGTGTTTTTTTTGGCGATAGCTCTGGCCATTTTCAGGTGCAACTTTGAAAGACGATGTAAAGAGGACACGTGCGGGTTGCGGTGTAAATGTTGTTATTGGAGGAGTGCACCGGCAGAGCGAAGATTCGAGCCAATTGATAAGATAATTGTTTGCGGCGCTCCCACACCGCTCTGCAACCTCCTAATCTCTCCAAATCAGGGGATAGAATCAATTACCCATCAACGAAATAAATATCTTTAATCTGGTTGAAAAATCGAGACGAGTCGTGCCTATTTGAACCCTAAAGGGACGGACAAGGCCTGGCATAGATTTTTTTGGACTGATAAGAAGTCGTTTTGAGGTGTTTTTTGGAGTTTTGCGTTTTTCATTCCATAGAGCTTAAAATTTGGCACAAAAACCTGCTTTTGAAAATCGATTGCCGATTGTTATTTTGATGCAAATTCGCAATTAAAAGCTCATTTCGCCAATTTTCGCCGGTGTTTACAAAGTCTAAACTCTCTCTCTTTCTCATTTTTCTCTAAGCGCATAGTTGTTCAGAAATTTTGCCAGATGGAATTTGTGCAGAATTTCAAGGTCCATCTAAGGGATTACCTTGATATCCGAAAACTCCGAAAAGCACTTAAAAACGACCGATTGCAAGGCTTGGGTCTGGATTTCGGAGTGGCAAAGAGTGAGTGCATAATTAGGGCTTATCGGGCGTTTTAAGTTTACGATATCTCTCTCTCTCTCCCTCTCTCTCTCTCTCGCTCTCTCTCTATCTAGCTATCTTTCTCTCGCGCTTCCCTTGTGCCAAATTTTGACCCGCTGCACCCACGGCCTCCATGGGGCCATCGGATTCCAGGACTAGAAAACATCTACCATCGCTCCGCGCGCATCGCACTAAATTGATAGGTGGCGCCGACGAGAGAAAATTCGAAAAATCGGCGTCGATATATCTCGGGATGGCTGTGGGTGCGATTGATAAGGGTTCGCCGGGATCTGTGGACGAACAGGCACCAAAAACAACTCGTGAAAGTTATGTTTAAAGGCACCGAAAGATACAAAAAACATCTTAAATTCAAATTAACGACAAAAACAAGCTGAAAAAAATAAATATTTATTAAAGGCAACAAAATAAGTTCCATAATTTGAGACCCGTATGCCCTGATTGAGATCGTTGCGCGCAGCCTCATCCGAAATAGCCATCCTAAAATGCGGGAAATTTATGGGTTAAAAGTTACGGTACCTCCTCGTCGCTCTCGTCGTCGAATTCGTTGTAGGACTCGCGATTGGAGGAGATCGAGTCGTGGAATGAGCGTCGCTTTCGGCTGCTTTGTCGTGTCGGGATGCTGCTGAAAATGTCATTTTTGAGTTCAATAAAAGTCCTTTAACTCGCTCTCTCTCTCTCTCTCTATCTCTTTCTCTTGCTCTCTCTCTCTCTCTCCCTCTCTCTCTCTCTTGCTGTCCCTCTCTCTCTCTAGTTCTTACCGATGAAAGGTGTCGCGTTGCGTTTGGATAGGCGGTGGGAGACGGCTCAACTCGACTGGATGTCGATTTCTGGAATTTGGGGTGGTTTTCTAAGATCTGGGCAGCCTACCGTAACCGCACCGACGTCTGCGTAGATGGAGGTCGATTAGGCAGATGTGTCGTTATTGGGGGTTGCGTTTGTTGTTGCTGAAAACGTCCGAATTTAGGAAAGAGAGAGAGAGACAGAGAGAAAGAGAGAGAGAGAGAGAGAGAGAGAGAGAGAGAGAGAGACATCCTTACCTCAGCATAATCCACATATGGCTGCGGGTTCAAATCGGTAGTGATGATTTCCCGAGAATTCATTCTCCTCGGCTTAAAGCGTACCGGTAGCGGCGATGTGGCAGGAGCAGCAGACGTGTTTCCATCGCTGAGCACGAGCTGAAAAAGGAATTCATCATTTCCATGTGAAGATCTCTCCTAGCTAGCCCGGATCGGCAATTCTGGTTCCCTTGTTCTGCCACAAGGGCTTCCCAAATTCTCTCTGCCAGCCTACCCTTGGTGCCTGAACGTTCGGTTCTCGACGTTGATACTGTGTGGAGATCATCTCCTTGTTGCGTCCCTTACCGCAGCAGATGAACTGGTTGAAGCTGGAAAAGGGGTTTGTTTTTCTTGCTCTAACACTCGCTCGCTCGCTCGCTCTCTCTCTCTCTCTCTCTCTCTCTCTCTCTCTCTCTCTCTATCTCTACCTGCTTCGATACCAAACAAGTGCAAACAAGGCAGCAGCGGCCAAGCAGACGGCTCCAACTCCAACAAGTACACCTATCCACCACCGACTTGGGGAGTGCTTTTCCTAAAAGTTGGATAAGTTACAGTATACTAGCGTACTTCAGATTGAATATATATATAGCTTTTTAGCGTTCGACTACGATGGAATACGAAATTCCGCTTACATTAGTGTGCGTACTGGACTTCTCCTTGCACGTGTAGGTCGCCTCGTCGCATTCCAGATTTTCAGCGCATTGCTGCGAGACGCGGGTGGAGCCAGGTGTACATTGTACGTTTCTAAAAAGGGGGAATTTGCGAAAGCGAGAGCGAGAGAGAGAGAGCGAAAGCGAGAGATAGAGAGAGAAATATTTCTCCCTTAAACCCACGAGCAAGTGGCCAGCGTCGTGCAGTTGCAGCACTTCAACGGGGCGCAATTCTGAAAGCTGAGCTTGGATACTACCGTAATAAATACCCGAGCTTCAGTCGTCGTCCCGAACGGACACTTTGTACAGTACTCCGCGATGGCGTGCGTGGGATTCACGTAAATCAGGGGGTCATCGGAAATTGGGTGCTCGTCCTGGGGGCACTTTGCCAGTAAGCTGCAGTTGGCCAGCAGGGTGGAACCTGGAAAAATAGATATCTCTTTCTATCGCTCTCTCCCCCTCTCCCTCTCTCTCTCTCTCTCTCTCTCTCTCTCTCTCTCTCTCTCTCTCTCTCCTTTTCTCCACTCACCCTCTTCTGGTGTCGTATACTCCCATACGCCTCCGTGTGGACACTGCGTACACCCGGAACCGTCCTGCTCCGTCTTAAATGCATAATTCCTACTGTAGCTAGAGTTTATCCACCTTATAAGTCCCCTTTGGGCACGCCACGCACTCCTCATCCACGTCCAGCTTCATCCCCGCCGCGCAGAAGAAGCATTCTGACTCGCTGGTGGCGCCCTGAAAACAGAGGGATAGATAGATAGAGAGAGACAGAGAGAGAAGAAGAGAGAGATCAAAACCTACCGTATGATTCGTAGTAGCCCCGACCGGACACTGATCACAAATAGCCGACACATGATCACTGAACGTCCCCCGTGGGCACGGCTCGCAGTTGTCCGAGTCGCGCACCATCAACCCGGGACCGCAGATTACTGTAAAAAATTTAAATAGGCAAAATCATCAGAGAAAAATCTAAATTACTATAAGTATGCGATTATTTTTAGCCGACGTTCACCGGAAGGAGCACTTGCCAAGGACAATAACGCTGAACTCTCAGCTAATTTCGGCAGCTACAGGGTTACTGAAAATTAATCAGTTTTCAAGCTATATTTGTGGGTATTTTAGACATTCCAAATTGTGACAAAACCTGGAAATAACGGGGGGGGGGGGAGCGGGGGTATCGTATGGCCTGTTCGTGTAATGAGAAGCCCGGAAAACGCGAAGAGGCCCGGTGAAAATCGATGGCAGGGGATCAGACATTAAAACTGGCTTGGCTTGGCTGCTACTTAGCCTAAGCTTAGGTTTCGAGTTTAGTTTGTCGAATTTTTTAGAAGAAAAGCGAAAAAAGAACCCGCTAGCTTTAGTTTCTCATCCACCTGAAGTCCAGTGTTTTCCGGAATTCAAAAATCCCTCAGTTGCTTTCTCTCTCGCTCGCTCTCCATCTCTCTCTCTCTCTCTCTCTCTCTCTCTCTCTCTCTCTCTCTCTCTCTCTCTCTCTCTCTCTCTTTCTCTTTCTCCCGCTCTCTCTCTGTCTCTCTCTCTTTGGCTCTCTCTAGCTCCCTCTCGCTCTCTCTCCCTCTCTCTCCCTCTCTCTCGCTCTCTCTCGCCCTCTCTTTCTCCAACCCACTCTGACAATCGGCCTCCCCGTGCCCGGAGCTGTGACAATTGTATGTCGTGTAGTTGGCCGGGCACTCAGTGCACGTATCTAGAAAAAAATAGAGATTGACGATAAAATACAGCATACCGTCGCTACAGTATGACCCGAGCGGGCATAGGCAATCGCAGACGTCTTGTTGTTGGCCGTTGACCTGGACGCTTTTAGGTTTTTGGCATCGGCCGCAGCTGGCTGGAAATAACGAGGGGTTTGGAATGCAGAGAGAGAGAGAGAGAGAGAGAGAGAGAGAGAGAGCGAGAGAGAGAGAGAAAGCGAAAACGAACCGCAGGAAACCTTTTGGGTGGCCACATCCAGCGTCTTGATTGGGAATTCATCCGGGCATCCGATCTCTTCGTCAAGCGTCATTCGGGCGTCCGACGTAGCGTTCTCCAAAGCGGCCCGAAGCCCGGGAACGGAGTAGACAAATGTGTCGCTAAAAATAGATGTTTCGCTCTCCCTCTCTGTCGCTCTCTCGCTTTCTCTCTCTCTCTCTCGCTCTCTCTCGCTCTCTCTTTATCTGTTCTCTCTCACATTCTCGCTATAAACTGAAAAACGAACTTGACGGTGACGTTGAAGTCGTACTTGTTGACGTCGGCCACAACTTGTTCAACTCCTTCATCCACCTGTCGCTTTTCACGATCTCCAAGGAGTGGTTGACACGGATTGGAGACGTAGTACGAGCATTCTGCTGCTGTGGCTCGAACCGAGTCGCAGTACTGAAAAAATCAATGTGAAGAGGGAGAGAGAGAGAGAGAGAGAGGGAGAGAGAGAGAGAGAGAGAGAGCGAGAGAGAGCTTGTTATCCACCTGATCCAAGGCATTCGATACATCCTGATATCCATTCTTACAGTCCCCAGTCGTCGTTATATTGCCGTTCATTTGCTAAATCGTGACCCAGTTACCGTACCCAACCTTATATTGCTACCTGGTTCGATGTCTCGGTCCGACCACAATCCGGAATTTGGAATTCTGCTCCTGGCAACATGCCATGCCACCGGTCCCATTGGCCCTAAAAATAGGGGTAGGTTTCGGAAGATTCGACTACGAGTTCTTGAGCTTGAGCTTGAGCTAGAGCATGAGCTAGACAAAATATCAAAGACGCCAGCAAAGTCTCTTTCGGAAATTTCATGAAGGTACAGGCAAACGAACTGACGGGATTGACCCTTTCATTAATGCGCCTGGTGGGCTAGCTAGCAGAGATTCTTTGTGAAAACGCGCCAAACTCACCAGTGAATCGCACAAATAAAAACTCGGCCGAATCGGTGGGTAGTACTCGGCTGTACAATTGACGAACACGGCCTGAACGGATCATTATCTTTCTTTTTAAGGCTCCGATACCTTGATCGCATCGGTCCCATTCACATCTCGCATCGTCGATCGCCCATTCTCAGGTGATATCACACCGCCACACTAATGGTTTACTTCCGTAACGATACTCCGTGTAAAACGTACCTCATTCGGCGCTACCGTAACCTTAAATTGGCAAGTCACCGAATTTTCGTTCGCGTCGTAGGCGGTGATCAGAATTGCGTACATGCCCCTGCAAAAAAATTAAATAACAAGGCCCGACTTTGCCTAGGCAAAATTTGAGGCTTAGGCAGGCTTAGTTTAGGCTTAGTTTAGGCTTAGCTTAGGCTTAGCTTAGGCTTAGCTTAGGCTTAGCTTGGGCTCACGCTCGTATTTATCACGCTAGTCTTTACTTACCATGAAAATATTTGACCGGAACGATAGTTGGCCTCGATTCTGACGACGGCCACGTTGTCCTCGAATTGTGCCGTCCAATTCACCTAAAATACACGAAATCTTGGTAGGTACATTAAATTTTAAACAGTGTTTGTATATACAGTCGTAATCGAGGGGAATAAAGCTTCCGAATCCCTGAAAAAACCTAAAAACCCACCTGGACGAGCCGCTGGCTGCTGACGATTCGCATATCCTGGGGGCATGATACGATGGTCGGCGGGATTTTGTCTAAAAAGTGATGCCAAGCGGAAGTCGCAATTGTTGACTCGACGTCCATTCACGCTTCGGGAAATTCGGGGCTATCGCCGCTGCCGGCCCCTTTAAAATCCTCACCTTTCGTTGTACAATTCCGGTCATTCTGTCTACAGTCTCGTTGCGGAGCCGCACATATCCCAGGGTAACTCTTCGTGACGCCCGGGTTTGAATCGTCGATTCGTGTGTAGTTTTCGGGCCTGAATTCGCACTTACATCTAGAGGGTACCTCTACATGTTAGGCTACGATTTGGACATTTAAAGGAACCGGGAAGCCCCAGGATTGCCCGAAAGTCCGACCAGCTACTGACAACGACGCCGAAGACCTTAAAACAACTGCAAATTCGCTTTCTTAGTGGTAATACAAGTGAGCTTGATCTGTGTTTTAGAGCGTTGCGTAGCGGTCGACACCTAGTGCAAGGAAAGCGTCGATTTTGACGGCTTTCTGGTGCCTGTAAGCTGAGGAGTCTGACCATTGAATTAGCGAGGCGTCCTTTGACAGTGTGCAGTTGAACGCGAGCTGCTTGATCTCCTGGTCGTCGGTTCGGGTGTAGTCGAACTATAAAAGGAGTTAGAGAGTCACGCTCTCACTCTCTCTCTCTCTCACTCTCTCTCTCTCTCTCTCTCTCGCCTCAAAACGTACAGTCACGTAGCCGATGTCCCCTATAAAAGGGGCCCTTCCGGGTTGGGGTCGGGCGAGTTGAATGTAGAAATTGCCGTCACTGGTCGTCGTCACCGCCGGGAAATTCGTACGGTTTACCATTTGGCCATCCTAAGAGTTGGATTGTAGCTAAGTCAAGCTTAAGCGAAGCCTAAGCTAAGCCTAAGCTGAGGCTAAGCTAAGCCTACCATATACGCAAGCCATTGGTTGTTCGTCGCGTCGGACTGATTCCAAGGATGCCAGACGCATAACTGAAACATCATTAATAGACGGAGCGAGAGAGAGAGCAAGAGAGAGCAAGAGAGAGCGAGAGAGATAAAGCGAGGGAGCGATAGAGAGAAAGAGAGCGAGTGTCGCCTACATGTTTCCATAAATTCGGCTCAGCTTCAAATTGAAGTGCTCGCGTCCCATTGAGCGTGATCCCCCGATTGCTGATCGACAGGAATTCCGTGTCACTTTGGTCCTGAATTAGATCATTTTGAAGGCGTTACGGTCGCGTCGCGTGTGAATTGAAATCCACCACCCACCAGGATCAGGCTCAAAAACGGAGGTTGCTCCTCCCCCGCTCCTGGTGTTGGGCGGTACCGTACCCAACCACAAAGCGTGAATTCTCTGAAAAGGGCTAAAATTGCTAACTGAAATGAATTTAAAAATGAAATTTTTTTTTGGTGTAATTAGGTAAATTCACCTCAAAAAGCTGAGCTTGACTTTGGTGGAGACGATCGGCTGCGGGCTAGGGATTCCGTTGAAGTCGAGGTTGAAGCTGAGCTTGGAGTCTAGCAGAGGATACAGAATACAAACTACACAACTTACCCTTGGCATTCTCACAATATTGGCCGCTGAAGCCGACGGGGCATTGGCAGATCCCTCGGACTTCGTCTAATGACGTTTCATTGGTGCACGTGCCACCGTTAAGGCAGAGGGTGCCGATCCCGCAAGCTTCCTGTGGAAAAAAAGATAGTTTTTTTGCGGTTTTTGGAGATTTTAAAGGGACTGGGACGGCGGGATTATGGAGTTTGGGGGCTGTGGCAGCTCTGAAATTCTCGTCTAGCTCTCTCTTCCTGTTCCGCTCTTTCTTTCTCTCTCTCTCTTTCTCTCTCTCTCTCTCTCTCTCTCTCTCTCTCTCTCTCTCTCTTTATCTCGCTCTCTCTATTTTTCCATCTATCCTGCTCGTTCTGCTCTCTTTGCTGTCACGCTCCCGTTAAAAGATTCAAATTCACCAACCGCCAAATTTATCGTGCACTCTGGCCCCGCCCACAGCGGCTCGCACACGCAGATTGCCGAGTTTTCGGTGGTACTGGAATTTTTGTATTGTTTCTCTCTCTCTCTCTCTCTCTCTCTCTCTCTCTCTCTCTCTTCAAAAACCTACGCGCAGCTCCCATGCACGCACCACCCCGAGCAGCCGACATTCTGGCAGGCGACGCCCTCGAAAGCTAAAAAAAATTCATTTTTCAACCATTCCATAATGCTCCAAATTACGCCTCGGGCAGGAACAGATATAACCGCTCATCACGTCGTCCGTACAGTCTCCACCATTTAGACACGGTGACAGGCGACAGTACCTAAATGGTCGATGTTCAAAATTTTCTTCATTTCATGGCTGTCACGGCCCCTTTAAAACTCACGAGATACTGTTGGAGCAGTTTGCCCCTGCCCAAGTCGCCGTACACGAGCAGACGTGATTCTGCTCGTCGTCTTCGCCTGGAATTCGAGGAGTTCTGTTATATCTTGACCTATCTACCGTATACGTTCAGGCACATTCCCTCGTTCTCGCAGACGGCCGTGTCGCAGCCTTTTTTCGGATCGGTGCAGAGGTCGCCTGGAAAGTGTTAAGAGCTTCCTAAATAACCGCTGCTAGCCTGCCCTAACTAGGAAGTGCAAATAAAAAATCCAGCAAACCGCTTAGCAAAAATATGGATCTGATAGAGTCGGCGACGGGGATTCCGAAACTGCAATCAGAATTTGCAAAACGCTTAATACAAAAAAGTTACGGGCATTTTAAGTTTTGCAGCACTTGTTCCGCCCTCCCTTATGAGCCCCTCCCAAAGAGGTGTGTCCACCTGTCGAGTGGTGTAGTGGCTAACTAGACTGCGTCTGTGGCGGAGGGTCTCTGGTTCGACTCCCGGGTCATGCGAAATTTTTTGCTTTTTGGTCAGAGTCAAGAACTTTAGACTTTTTCAAAGTTTCAAAGTCGAAAAGGCTGTTCTCTTAGTTTTTAAATTCATGAAACCGATTACAAAGTGGTGGCGGGAGTGCAAGTACTTTTGCCGGTAGGGCACTAAAAAAATTCACCTCTGTTTTTTCGTAAGGTAAGCCTACACGCAGCCAATAATAAAGAAAATGTTCAAAACTCTAAATTTCGGACTTCGAAACTTTGAAAAAGTCGAAAGTTCTTGACTTTGACCAAAAAGCAAAAAATTTTGCATGACCTCGGAGTCGAACCAGAGACCCTCCGCCACAGACGCAAGCTAGTTAGCCACTACACCACTCGACAGGTGGACACACCTCTTTGGGCGGGGCTCATAAGGGAGGGCGGAAAAAGTGCTGCAAAACTTAAAATGCCCGTAACTTTTTTGTATTAAGCGTTTTGCAAAATCTGATTGCAGTTTCGGAATCCCCGTCGCCGACTCTATCAGACCCATATTTTTGCTAAGCGGTTTGCTGGATTTTTTATTTGCACTTCCCTAGTAAGCTCGATTTTCGGTGTCACTGCCCCCTTCAAAGACCTCACCTTGCCATCCATCATCGCACACGCAAACTCCATCCACACAGTCGCCATTAATGCACATATCCAGATCGTAGCAGGGTGGGATGGCAGGGACGGGAGTCTGGAAGGGGTACGGTAGATGGGACGGGGTTTAGGAAGCTAGGAGATAGAGCGAGAGAGCGAGAGAGCGAAAGCGAGACAGCGAGCGAGAAACAGAGACAGAAAGCGGGAGGGAGAGAGAGTGCGAGAGAGCGGGAGAGAGAGAGAGAGAGAGAGAGAGAGAGAGAGAGAGAGAGAGAGAGAGAGAGTGAGATACCCACCCCGCAATCCTTGCCGACAAAGCCGGGTAGGCAGTAGCAGAAATAGTCTCCCAGCAGGTTCGTACAATTCTGCGTATTTTCGGGGACGCATGGATCAATTCCGCGGCAATACTTCGTCACGTCCGAACAGGTCGGGCCTGCAACGCAATCCAATGCAAACTTTTTCCCCTGGGATCCGAAATTTCTGGTCAGAAAATGCAGAAAAATAAAACATAAAATCAAAGCAGATCCACCTTCGAAACCGGGCACAAACGAGCAGTCGCAGGCGGCTTTTCCGCTAATGTCCTCAACGCATCGTCCTCCATTATGACAGGTGGTAGTGGGGCGAACCTGGAATTTCGCAGGCTACAAGCTACACAAAAACAACTACAAAAGCTACAACAATCAAAAATTACACGCTACAAACTCCAAAAACCCACGTCCGAGCTGCACACCGGGATCTTGTTGTCGCAATATTGGCCGTTGTAGCCTGAAACTAATGCGTTTTCATGCTTTAAAGGGACATGGAAACCATGGTTTTGTGGATTACGGCATTTGGAGTCATGCACGCTCCCTTTAGAGTATCGACACGTACCGGGTGGACAGTCGCAAGTCCCATCTGGACGGCAACTTCCGCCGTGCTGACATTGCCCTAGACACGCGTCGAATGGGATGCAAGCCCTGGCTCCGTCCTCCTCGGTACCGTTCAGCATATAGCCGTGGTCGCACATCACCCAGGGCTAGAAAAAGTTGGTTAATGGCTGTCACTTTCTACAGGGTGCGGAGAAAGTTTTGGGTGGCAGAATTAGCTATGTTTTCACAAATTGCGTGCTCCAGCTTGGATTTTTTTGAATGGGAGACTAAAAAAGGGCAACTTGAGAAACACTAGGCACCAGCAGATCAACAAAATTTTTGAAATTTTCGGGGGAAAATGCACTGAAAGCGTCGCGCTAAAATCACCTCCGGCACGCAGCGCTTTTGCTGCTTTTACCGTATGCCCTGTGCACCATTCTTCACCGAAATTCACGAGAATTGATGCAGATATTGCCAATCCTATCCTACATCACCCCATGAAATTACAAAGTTTCTGAATTTAAATTCAGAGAGTTATGGCGCTTTGAATTCTGAGCAATTCCCCTAGCGGCATGGGAAGCAGCTGCGAAGCTGGGGGGCTTACAGCCCATAAACCGCGAAGCGCCACATTAATGATAAATTAGGCATATGAATATAAATCAAGATGTTTAACGTCGAAATTTGTGGGATAGACATTAAAACAACTGCAGGTTGAGCTTCACAAAAAGTTGAAAAGCCGGAAACCGCGGCACGCTGCTTATTTTCAACTCAATTGTGCCCAGGGTTTAGCAAAGCTGATCAAAAAATGTAAGCTTTACATGGGATAATGCTTATTTTCTGCTTATCATAATCCGAAACCCTGGAAAGCCTGGTGATAAAATCCGAAGCATTATAACCAATATTTCCTAACAGCCAAATGTGTACCATTTCTGGAGCCTCCGTGTTTCCAAGCCGATTCTCATGCGGAAAATAATTTTTTAGAACATTACCGTTGTCAGAATCGGATAGAGCACGTCCGAATCTATGTTGACACCACAAAATGAGCGCGGTATAGCTTAGAACGACAATTTTTCGCAATAAAAAGGCGCCACCCAAAACTTTTTCCGCACCCTGTAGAGTGTTCGGTCAACGCTTCGTGGCCGCGTTACGAGTGGAGAGAGAGCGAGAGAGTGAGACAGAGCGAAAGCGAGAGAAAATGCGAGAACGTGAGTGAGAGAAAAAAAAGAGAAAAAATTTAAAAATCCAAACCTTGACAAGCCGCTGCTCCACCGAAAACACGACCTGTTCGCATGATCCATGATCGACAGCGCCTGTAAAACACGGAATTACTAGGTTGAAGCCGACAGTTTCGACCGATTTTTAGATGACTGGCGTCCCAGCTCGTCGTTCTCAGCTGTGTTACCGGATTCGTGCGCGGTGTGGTCGTGGTGGTATTGCCTATTAGTGTGTTATTTTCTTAGCTACAGACGAAGGTTAGGTAATGGATTTTTCTAGACCACCCGGATCTACGAAATTCACTCACCGTAGAAGTCCGACGTCGTGCTTCCCAGAATGGCAGCTGTGGTGGTCAGGAAGCCTCCTAAAAAGCGGATAGAACGAGAGAGAGATAAAGAGAGAGATAGAGCGAGAGAGAGGGAGAGAGAGGGGAGGCGATACCGAATGTGCATGATCCGTTGGTCGCCGTCTCGCAGAAGTTCCCTTCGTAACCTAGAAAAATTGGCGCATTTTTGGCATCTTCGACTTTTTAAAGTAATAAAAATTGCTTCTTTTTAGCCGTACCTACCCGCAAAGCATTTGCACCGATAGGGATTGACTTGCTGGAAGGGCTGGGCCGGGCAGAAGCCCGTCCGACTGTCGCATTGACATTTGGGGGGAGGGTGACCGGCGTCGACCGGCCAGCAGACGTGATCTCCAATCCATTGGCCATCCACGCCGCACATCGTCGGGTAAAACACTTTGCCGGGTTCCACCTGAAAAAAGGCAGTTTTTCGCTCTTTCTCGCTCTCGCTCTCTCTGTGTCTCTTTCCCTCTCTCTCTCTCTCTCTCTCTCTCTCTCTCTCTCTCTCTCGTTCTCTCTGCCTCTCCCTCTCTCTGTCTCTCTCCTCTCTCTCGCTTAAAGAAGGCAACTCACACAGCTACCCTGCAACAGGGCAAAGGGGGCCGTCTCATTGTAGATGGCCCGAATCTCGTCCGTGTCGTCCCATTGACAAACTAAAAACATTACATAATGTGTCCAAAGTGCAAAATAATTCGAACGCGTCACGGTAACGTTGCGTCCGCGTTCTCTATTGTAGTGTCTTGTGCTGTGCTCTCTCTCGCTCTCTCTCTCTCCCCCTCTCTCTCTCTCCGCAGCACACGAATCTCGAATTCTTCCCAAACCTACACTTAATATCATCGTACGTCGTCACGGTCCCCTCAATGAGCTGCCACACAGCTTCCTGTATTTTGTAGTATACCGTATCGCACGTGAATTTACCGTTCCACTGTTGACACACTGCCACACTGAGCGGTAGGCCGGGCTGAGCACCTGATGCGTGTTGCTCCACGCGCTGATGTACATCTAGACGGCGCACTAAGCGAGATAAAGAGCCAACAAAAATAATGGTAAAGTCAGTACCAAAAAAATGAAATAGTGAATTTTGAAACTCACCGCCACCGTAGTTTTCACGAAGAAATACTGGCGATTCGGGTCGGATAGGTAGAATTGGCCTTGACGCTTGTGATTGTCAGGCTTCGGAAGGGCAGCGATGGGGCACGTTTTAACTGAAAAGCATTAGGTGGGTAAGTGCAAAAATCCCGACACCAAAAACCACACATCCAAAACCCCGACGGTGCGTACAGTAGTGTACTATGTACAGTTCTGCTAAAAACCAAAAAACGAAAATGAAAAACCCACAAACACATTCGTGGCCTCGTTTTTCGTAGTCTGGCAGTAGACAGGCGCATTCGTAGCCGCCTTCCTAAATTTAGGACTTATTTTTGCATTTTTTGCATTTTAAACTTCGCCTTTAAGCTTTAGGGAGGTCGAAAGAATAATTATTTTTTCAAAAATTTCCTAAAACATTTGAAGGTTAAAACACACCGCAAGCGGCACGCATCTACTGACGCCCGGCTGGCAAGCGTCCGTCTTCCGCGCGCACTCGTCGATTACTGTAGGATAACCATGTTTTGAGAGGGCTACACTAAGCTCCTACCGACGCACGTCGTCCCGTTAAACTCAAAATTCTCGTGGCACGCGCACGTATAGCCGACGTCCAGTTTGACCCACTCGCCCGGGCCGCAGATGAAACTGTCGTAGGTTTTGGCTAGAATTTGTGTTCCGATATTTTGATTTTCTAGGCCAGAGAGAGCGAGAGAGAGCAAGAGAAAGAGGGAGAGAGCGAGAGAGAGAGAGAGAGAGCGAGAGAGATAGAAAGAGAGTAAGAGCAAGATAGAAAGAGAGCGAGAGAGAGAGCGAGAGAGAGAGAACGAGAGAGAGCGAAAGAGAGAGAGAGCGAGCAAGAGAGCGGCTGGGAGTGACAGACGATAGTCAAAAAGGTACCCACCTCTACACGGTTGCCACAGATATTGCCAATCATCGAGACAAAACGCCGCTTCCGGGGTTGGCTCGAACCCGTTGGCGCAGACGGGTTCCCCGTAGTGCTCGTAGCTCGTCCAGTCAAGCGTCCCGAATGGCACGGACACCCTTGGGCAGGCTGAAAATTTGGTTTGTTACTGTCACGCCTCCTTTAATGCGTTGCGGGCGCGTCACGTGTCGTTTTGGGAGGCAGAAGGAGACACGCACCGCGTCCGGAACGCGCTCAAAAAAATTCACCCTTCGATTTTTGGTCAAAATTGAACTGCTCCCACGTGCCGTTGCGTGTGCACTGTAGCCACGGGTCCTTTGGGTACACCTCGTTGTTGGTGGCTTCGTATTGTGCCTAAAGAAGTACAAGAGAGTACTACTGACGCACCACGTCGTACACTCGCCAGACGGGCGCCGTCGTGTTGACCAGGGTGTTGTTGTTGATCATCAGCTCGGGCTGGGGGCATTCCACTGAAAAAAGCGGGAAAGTTTGAGAGATGGAGGGGGAGCGAGAGAGAGAGGGAGAGAGGGAGAGAGAGTGATAGTGAGAGAGAGAGCGAGCAAGAGCGAGAGAGACTACCTGAACTGCACGCCGGCTCGGGTATCCACCGCCCATCCGCTCCACACGTTGAATCGAACCTCGCCGATTTGCTCTCCAAATTCGCAAATCTCGCACGACACTGAAATTATTGTATCAAACGCGCTGCGGTCACCTAACGCATCGTGACCGCGACGCGTCAAAACGTCCACCAAGCATATAATCACCTGGACTATCAACAAATTGCGTTCGTAACCGATGGGATATCCGTTGGAGACGACAGGAAGCGGGCAGAATATTGACGTTTCTGAAGAGGTTGTGCTTCAGCGTAGAAATACATAGCGTACCGACGCATTCCCCGATTCTTGCCGACCACACGCCACCAAAAAGGCATTCGATCTGCTCGGGGCCGGCAAGAAATCTCCCATCCGGGCATCTGGCGGTTACGGTAGAGCCGAGGGTACGGTGCGGGATTTCGGGGTCCACCTCGACGTCTCGTGGAATATCCGGGGAGGGGCATTCTGAATTTTTGACATTGGAAATGGTTCACGTCTTCAAGGCGACGCGTGTACGTTGCGTGTCGCAGCGAAGGTGCAATCCATAGCATAGCCAGCAATACCATTCCTTGCAACTCCATGACACTAAGCCAAGTCAAGTCTAAGCTAAGCCTAAGCCTAGGCCTAAGCGAAGCCTAAGCCAAGCAATCCTAAGCAGGTATTGCGCCATTACTTACCTTGCGAATACCGTAGTTTAATGACGAATCTCCCAGAAGCGCTGGAGATGAAGAATTTTAACGGCGACTGGGAGAAGTGCATCGCCGACTGGCAGAGGGGCAGACACCCAGCGTTTAGCGTACGGCTTTCCCCGGTTGGTGACGAGATCTGATATTTTAAAGGTAGTGGCATGGCAGGACGTCAAAAGCGTTTCGCAAAACACAACCTACCGTCATTATCGTCGTTTCATCCAGCCTCAACTCGTCGACAAGAATACTAATAGCTCTGGGGCTCTTCGGCCCGACGACAAACGAGTAGCTGAGCACGGCCGGGGTCAGATATGTTGGGCTCAGGTCGGAGCCAGGGGGCCAGGTTGGGGTAGAGGTGGCAAATGGACCGTTGAGGATGACAGTGCCGGAAGGGGAAGAGGTGAAGGCAGGGCAGGCTGAAATTGAAATGGGTTTGGTATTCGATTTTTAGGCATTTTAAAGGTACTGGAAGTGCGGAATCTACCCTTCTTGTCAACTAAGTCTCGACAACCCCGAAAAGCGCCTTAAATAGAACAAAATATTGCGCAAAACATCCGCATTTTTGCTAAAAATCTAGTAAAATTTTGCGCCGTCTTCAAGCGTTAATATCGACCTTTTTGGCCCACTAGGTCTCGACAGCTACGCAACACTTCAAAACACGCGTAAACTGGATTTGACTTTTTCCTGCCAAATTACGCCATTATAGTGCCAGAATCTCGGCGTAATTTGGTGTGCCGCGTCACTGTCGACAGCTAGCTGGCAGAAGACGTCGATTCTGAAGTTTTCCAACCCCCCTTAAAACCCCCACCTCGATAATATTTGATCTGCAACGACCCATAAGCCGGGCGAGAGGAGACCAGCGCTAGCTGGATACAAGGATCAGCCGAGGCGGTGATTAACGGCAGCTGAAAATCCGAGCCCAACGAGAGTTGGGCTGACGTGCACGAGGAGATGTTCAGCACCGAGCCGCTGGGGATTTGGCCGGAAATCTAAACTTTGATTTTCGATTTTTTTAAATGAATTTTTGGCGTTGAATTCCATGTCTGAAATCGTTTTTTGGTCGATTGAACGTCTGAAACACTTACCACGAGCATCACACTACTTCTGCCAGGGTTATCAATGCGCCATCTACGGGTTTGTGGCTGCTCGAAGGAAACTTCTAGAATTCCCTCCTTATCCCGAAGCACGATTGTCCGATTGACCGGGTCTAAAAACGGGTTTTATTTATTTCCAAAACCAGGATAGAGTAAAAACAAATGTAGAACACTGCCAAAAACAACTTACAGCGTCGTCGCCCCTGAAAACCAGCCGGCAAATTCTCGAGGTCTATCGTCGACAAATCAACCTGAAAATAAGGAATTTAAATAGTAAAGAGCATTGAAATATACAAAATTATAGAACTTGCAAAAGCACATAAAATGACAAACCTCGTCGCTGCCGTCGGCGCAATCGCGAAACCCGTCGTTGACCGCCGACTTGGGGATGCACCTTGAATTGTCGCCACAGCGCCACTCGTCTAAAAAATCACACCTTCAATATTTATGTATTGATTTCAATTTTCTAGTCAAAAACTACCATCTCTGCAGGCGAACGTCTCGCAAAGGACGGGCAGCGTCTCGGAGCAGTTGCGCAGCGACCAGCCGATTTGTTCAAGGGTTTCTTGTAAAACCTCGGACGAGTTTCTAAATTTTTAGAAGCTTAGAAAACGCTCGAAATCAATTTTATTTTTATTATTAATAGTGAGTATCTTAATAGTGTTTTCAGTAAAACTTAGTAACTATATTTCAACTGGAAAAATCTAAAAAAATTTTGTCGAAATTTTGGGCAAAAATCGGCCATTTTCGGTCAAAAAATCGATTTTTTTTTGCAGTGTTTTAGTAAAATTTTGTAAGGTTTTTACGTACTTTCGAAAATTCCAAAAAGCCTATATTACTTGCTAATTAAATCGTTCAAAACCTACCGAACCGTCACGGCCACACAGCGCGAATCGCCGCTCTCCCCCAGCGTCGGCTGGCTGAACGCCCACGACGGGTTGAACACCGAGAAGTTGCCGGCCATCGAGATGCTGCTCAACTCGCGAAGGTCGCTGGTGGAGTAGCCTATAACGAATTATGAAAAAAATTTCAGAAAAACCTGTCCACATCGTGCTCTCTTGGAACAACCGCATCTTCAGCATGGCGCGCAAGACCAAGAAGTTGTCCAGCCGGGCCGGGTAGGTGTTGTTCGTTCTCAAGGATATTTTTTGAGAGATGCTGGTGCGTTAGCGGGGGAGGGAGAATTTAGCGGGGACTTAACTTTTCCCTAAACGTTTTTTAGTAAGTAAAAATGGACGGAGACTAACAAAAATACCATAAAAAATACACGTTGTATTACTATAGAGGTCATGCCGAATAAATTAGGTCAACCTCCCCCCGCAAATGAACGAGAACCTTTTAAAAACAAGACCATAAAAGCTACCGTTTGCACAGCGACAGCGACGAGGCGAACGGGACGCGCTGCGCAGGGTTACTCATGAAACACGATGTGCCGACTTGCTGCCAATCTAAAATGTGTTTTTAGTTGGTATTTTTGCATATATTGACGCAGCAATGATTCCACTGTCTAAAGGTCATTTAATTATTCTTATTGTTATTATAATTATTATACCTCCATCTACGCTGCTAATATTGCACCACAGCCTCGCGTTGCCCTTCGACCACGAATACGGGTATTGGGCCCATGATTTTCCAAGCAAAAATAGTAATACTGTCCCGAATAGCCATAATCGCGCATCAGGTGGTCGTGTTCTCATTTTTCTAAAATATTAACCCAGAAAATCATCCAAATATTGGTAAATCCAGCGTAAAAAAACATAAAAATCCGAGTAAACTAGGAAATATCGTTTTCATTATAGAGTTTAATATTTTATAGCTCTTATATCTTTCTAAACATAGTAAATTTTTGAAATCTTGAAAATTTCGATGAAGAAAACGTTTAAATATTTATTTTTAAGAAAATGTTGCTGTTCTCACAAGAACAACACGCTAAAAACACTAATAAAGTTGCAGAAATCGCTCAAGGATCTTAATATTCTATTTACTAGTAGTAGGATCTTTTTGTTTTTGCAAGAACAACACGATAAAAAATACTAATAACAATGCAAAAGTCATAAATAGCCTGAATATTTACTAATAGTCAAATTTTGCTGTTTTTGCAAGAATAACACACAAAAAACGGAGTCGATGGTGTGAAAATGGTCCGGAAACGGGAGCCAATTTCAGGGTGTGCCCTCGGCCACAGATTTTGGCAGCATAGTGAGTGGCCCTGCTAGGGTGCGGTGTGGCAAAAAGAGAGTCGGGCGGGGCTCTTATCAAAAACGAAATGGCGTCCTGTAAATTCGGTGGATGAGTGGACCGCTCAGGTTGGGCTAAGCCTTTGGCAAGGGTGCGACACGCATTTTCAAGAATTTCCGGTTCTTTCGCATTATCGGGGGGGGGCAAAATTTTTTCTAAGGATCCGATTTTTCAGATATAAAGAGGAAGTGAATCTAAACGATGTGCTGCCTGATCTGCCTGAACGTAAGAACATTACAAAAAACATCCATTTTTGACCAAAACAGGCCAAACCATTCTCAAAAAAAATTTGCACGTTTTTTACTGGTTTTTTTCGCTAAAAATTTATTAAAAACGCATAAAATAATTCCTACGTGATTAGGCATTTCAGAATCATAGCAAAAAGTTTGTCCCACCCCCCGATATTGCAAAAGCACCGTTTTTTTTAAAAGATTTACACCGCCGGGAATCAGTAAAACAGCCTCGAGACGCTTCCCATACACGAAAAACCAGAAAAACCATCCGGGCAACACTTTTTGGGTGCGAAATGTGTCGATCGCCTCAGGGAAACGAAGTCCCGGCCGGACATGCTTGCTGCTGATTATGGAGAGCCGGGGCAAACATGCCCCCGCTGGGGGCCCTTTCTCCAGATCCACCCCCTTTTGTGCGCTGTCCCCTCAAGTCTGACACGGTCAACAAAAATAACCGTTTATCCCCATACACATACAAAACATACAGCGGCGCATAGTTAAAGCCCATTAAATCACAGGAGTGGTCAGTGAAAGCCCGGGAAATTGTTGCATATCAAATGGTCGTTGGATGTGGGCTCCTATACCTCCTATGGCTCCTATGTTGGATGTCAGCTTAGCTTGATGACTTCAGTACCTAAAAGAGACGATTTGCGTTCATTTCCCCGAATCTCATTGCGTGGATTTTTCATCTTATCTATCTTCATATGACCCGTTTTCGCATTTGTAAGCGAGTTTTGAGCAAAAGGCCAACTATTGAGCTATTTTTATTATTTCCCCGTATCCTACTATATATAAAAAAATAGTGTCTGTGTGTGTGTGTGTCTGTGTGTGCCACTTTGCATCCACTTCCGGATGGCTGTCCGGAGGATATCTCGATAGGGGATGAATTTTAAGGTATGTATGATACGTCATTAGATGCGTAATGGCCTGGAGATGACTGCACGCATATCAGATTTAACAAAATCACCTATTTTCGACATTAAATTTAAGTTTTTGTAAAAACATCTTTGTTAGGAACAATTAGCGTAGACCGGAAGTGGGGATTCGACTATATAAAGGGGTTTAAAAGGTAGTTTTTCATTTTTTGTCATCTGAATTCAGGAAAATTATGCAAAGTGAAGGATAAAACGGGGTCAGACGGGGCCAGGGTTGAAAACAATAAAAAACCCTGAAACATTTTTAGTTGAAATTTTCGTCGACAATTCAATATTTTTGTCTTTTTAATAGTTTTTATCTTAGTTTTTTTTTGTAGCTAGTTCCCCCCCCCCCGATAATGCGAAAGAGACATTAAATGAGCTATACGAAAGCTTCAACTTCCACTCTTAAAATCGGTTTTTAGACCTCCGAACGAAACCGAATAAGTAGCATAATTTGGAAATCGGCGAAATGAAAATCGGTAAAATGAACGTATATCGATGGGATTTTTCAGAATATTTTCCAATTTCCTGTAAAAAACTTACGGTTTCCACCTGACTTATTGTGTCCATGGGCCCCTCGACGGCGTGCCCGGTGACCCGGTTGTCAATGTAGATCGCGTGGTCGTTGCCGCCCTAGACACCCTTTATCAATAGTTCAACGCAAGACCAAACCGGCATCGTGCGATCCCCGAAAAAGTGGATGCTGTCGAATTCTTTCTCCAGGTAACGCAAACAGAACGTCTTGTCCCAGCCGGTCGGGTAGACATCCACCGAGATTTGGCCGCCTTAATCAAATTTAAAAAAAAACGAAAATAAACATACCAATAGCAAAAGTCAGGCCGTAAGATGCGAATTTTTCTTCCAAAATTTTCACAAATTGCTCACGAATCTGAAAAAAATATCTGTTGTATTTAGCTCTGCCCTACTTTATGCTGATTGTCGTAAACTACAAAGTCGGCCCTCTCCTCGTGCGTACAGCTTCTGCCGATCGGCGAGAAATTGATCATGCCCTAAACACAATCATAATTTTTTTTAAAAAGGCCATACATTTCTGAACTCCACAAAGTTGCCCCGTTTCACCGGCAGCCGAAGTTTCGAGAAATATTCGAGGACAAAGTTAATCAGATCTTGCAGCTTATCCTCGCCAAGTCGAGTTTGGATTTTCTAAAATAAAGATATTGATTAACTTTATTGGCCATACGTGGACTGGGTATGCCTCATTTCCGTGGTAGCCAACGACACCGTTCTCGGCAAAGACGTAGTCAAATTGTTGGAGTACTAAAAACCATGATTTCCGGTGAGCAACGCCTACGATGATCAAGATCCTGTCCGGCGAGTTGTTCGGCAATTTTGTTGAGATCCGAGCCGCCAACGACGGCTAGCTGCGTTCCGGAAGAGCGAATGTTGGCCAGAAATTCCTTCATTTCCGATGTGATATCCTGGAAAAAATTTATTAAAAAAAGGTCCTTACAGTTACAAAAAAGTTACGACAAAATCGCTCCCAATTACCTTTCTAGCAGCCGTCAAGGTTCCATCAACGTCAAAAAGCAACAACGTTTTGCCCATTTTGCCTGCAACAAAACGTCGGGTCTGTGATACACGCTCGCAAGTCCGCAGCAACAAGGAAGACAAGCCTCGCATAAAACTTCAAAAAAATTTAGTCGACTGCTAGTGCTGAAGTTGGCTAGAACGGGGTAATTCCCAAAGTTCAGATGTAGCTAAACAATTTATTATTAATGCTTTTATTCGGAGGCACATGCTTCAAAAAGGGTACAGGATAAACGACAGGCGATTCGGGAATGGTTTAGCTAATAGAACCCGGCGACAGACCATAACACACGTGGAATACACTCGGGGACTAGGGGCAGAGATAAACGGGGCCAATAGAGCGCGCCCGCAAAAGAGATCGGGACGGGAGGGGGAGGCGAGAGATTGAGGCAACGCTTCCACATCATGATGAAATGAGAATTGATCTCGCGAGAAAGGTGGAGGAGGGAGCCTGTTAGAATATCCAGAATACAAACGCGGATTTCTAAAATCTCGAATTCTTATAACCTCGGATTTTCAGAATTCCGAATTATCATATTTTGCATTTTAGAAACTCGAAATTTTGATAGGCTTAATGCGGGGCTAACCGTGCAATTTAAAGGTTCTCGTCGTTGAGCCAATGGAAATTTCGAAACTCTGAAATTCGCACAAAAAAAGAAATTTCGAGATTATAACAATTAAAGAGTCTGAAACACCGAAAAGAAATGTACATGAGATCAATCCTCGATTTTTGCCTCTTCATCAACCGGCTCCTGCTTTGGGACCGGCGCGGCCACCACCTCCTCCTTCTTCTCCTCCTCCTCGGGACCCATTCCGAGCAGCGTCAGGATGTCGCCCATCGTGCTCAGCGAGTTCAGCAGCATTCGTTTCCGCTCCATCTGCTCGTCGAGGCGTAGCAGCACGTGATACCTTTCACACTCCAAAAGTCCGAGAGTGATCTAAAAGAGATTGGTTCGAAAATGGAGATTTCTCACCTGCACCCATCGATGGTGCTGCTGACAGTTCTTTTTGGCCTTTTGGCAAAAGCCCAGCCCCAGGGTGCGCTCGATATTGTCGAATATGTTGTAGACCTAAAATTGCATTAAAGCGAAAAATATTTGAAAACCTCATCAAAAACGGCGGAGTCCTTCTGATTGTTCCAGGCCAATGGAAATCCACAAATCTGTAAAACATCATTTTTTATCACCGAGTGTACAATGAAAACTTCACCAGCTCAAAAAGGCCAAGAAATTCCTTTTAAATGCTATTCTAAATATATTTTTATTTTTTTAAATACCTTCAATTCTTTCTCCAATTCGCCCTTATAATGATCGGCACACATGACACGCAGTCTTTTACAATACGTGTTGCTCGTTTTGTTCAACGCATCGCAGAATAGATTGTCCGGGTTTTGCTCTTTCATCTGAAAATGACAATAGGACCGTTTTATCACAACAACAAACTTCTTGCGAAGATCCCAGCTCGCTCTGTTTTTCCTGCTTGACGAAGCAACGTTCGATATGTTTCGGCAGCGCTTTTTCGCCCACATCGGCCGCGCAAACCGGGCAGAAGTAGCTGATTGAGCCCTAAAAAAACATAAAATAGTTTTCTAGATTTGTGGGTACTTTTTCGGCCTCGTTGTCCACCTCGTTTTCGTCATCACTGTCGACGGGGTCTATAGCTTTGACCGCCTGTAAAAAAAGTATAATTTTGGCTCGAAAAGTCTCACATTGACCCAACGCTGGACCAACACCATACGGTCGACGAGTTCCTTGGCCCGGACGAACGACGCTTCAATCTAAAAAAATTTTTGTCATGAATGAAATCAAAATTTTTCAAGCTTCTCATTTTTCCCCTTGCGTTTCGGTGTATTATCGAGCCGTAAAAGCGCGTTCTCACCTGAACTTCCAACTTCTTGCCCTGCCTGATGCCTTCGGTGAATTGGCGCGGTTGCTTCCAGTAGCGAACGGATTGCTTCTTGGCGTGCTTGATGCGGGCCTAAAAATAACGAAAATATCGTCTATATTAAAATACTCACCTCAGCCAGTCGCATTCCACAGTCATCAGAGCAGTATTTGCTATTTTCGCGAGCGGTGAGGATGCATTCAGGGCCTTTAAAAAAAAGATGTAATCGCCATTGATACTTGTCAATATATATACCTAGACACTGGTGAGGGGTGTTTTCACGTTTTCTCGGTCGCCTGGCAGCGATTTTCTTCTCGGTAGCAATGTTCACCTCTACCAAGGCTCGGGCTCGCACCTCTTAAAAAAACGAATCACCTCCGGGATTGAGTTTACCTTTAGGGTCATACTTCGACCGGCCCATGTAGATCTGATCGTCGTCATCGTCGTCCGAATCGAGCTGGAAGCGGTCCGTTATTACCGAATACATATCATAAAGAAGTGCTTAGCAATTTTTAACTACCAACCGGCTTCCTCTTGCGCCCTCGCTTCCGCTTCTCCGGCAGAAAGTCTAAATAAGTTGTATCAAATCGCCATAAAAAATCAAAAACCTTTCGCTGGCTCCTCCTTGCGGACAACAAGACATGGAAAATGTGGGCACTCGGCCCACTTTTCTGGAGTGCACTCTTTGCAATTCTTGGCTCTGAAGCAATGTATGCATCCCACTGGATTCGTGTCGACGCAACGGTTGCCTAAACGAAAGTTAATTGAAGAATTCGGATCCCAACCAGTCTCCTCCGCGGACTTTTTCTTCTCCACCGGGGCAGCGGTCGTTATCGTCTTGTAGATAATCTTCAGGTTGGGATCAGAGGTGATGCAGGAACTGCAGTACCATTTTTCGATGGCGCCGCCCTCCTTCTTCGTGACCTGGCGAGCATGAGTTTTTTCGAAAAGCTTGTTTTCTACCTTGACGCAATCACCGTGGAACCAGATGTCGCATTTTTCGCAGGCAATCATGAATCTCTTGATGTCACTGGATTTGCAGAAGCAGTAGACCTAAAGACAAACGATAGTTGGTGACGTAATCTGAATACCTCTGGCTTCACATCTTGCGTTTCGGTGACAATTTCGGTCAGGGCCGACGTAGATTGAGCAGCAGCATCGTGCGCGGAAACTGTCACTATCGTAGGCTTTTGCTCCAGAGCCTGAACAGGTTTAGGTTTAGAGAAGCCGGGAAGCCACACCCACCTCGGCCGGTATAATCAATTCCTGCTGCTTCGGCTGCTCCATCGCAATCACCGAGGCAACGACGCAGTTTATCGACTCATCTATCGAGGAGAGGACCTCTTCCTTCCTGCCCTCCGCGACACGGGATATCGTCTCATCCAGCGAGGAGAATAGATCGTCCAACGGGTTGGAAGGCGGGTGGGGCGGGAGCTCTTCTTCAGGTTCTGGCTTTGGTGTTTTCTAAAAGTGACATCGGTTAGGTAGTTAATTATGTTTTACCAAGACGTTGGGTTCCCCGTTAACGATCGTAGTGATCTCGACCGTGGATTCCGGCTCGATCTTTACCGTCGCGGCCGCCTGGACCGGTGTTTCGGGCTCAGTATTTACCGTTGTGGTCTTCTCAGATGTTGGCTCAGACTCCATCTTTACGGTCGTATCCATTTCGACCGTCGTTTCGGGGTCCATCCTTACTTATTTTTTGAAGCAAATTGGACGGAACGGACCAAAAACTTTAAAAAATTTAGTTTGAAAGATGTACACGCAAGGGAATTTCGGAAACGGCTTGCCCACAAAGTCCGACTGTGCAGCGTAGCCGTACTAGTCGCCGGCCTCGGGCCACACAGCGGATACACCCTTACTTAAAACTGCAACGAAGGATTGGGCAGCGTAACGCTAAAAATCTCTGCGTCTCTCAATCTGGGGGCCTCTGGGAGTCTGTGCGCTGGGCTGGGGTACGGTGGCTGGGACACCACATTCGGGTGCAGGCTGTCAACGACGGGGCTGTCTGTGAAGGGGACCCCCGGAGGGCCCCCGAAAATAAGCTGGGGATTGCGTTAAAAAGCCGATTTTAAAAAATTCCGACGTGATTAGCAAATTTGCGAATATACGATTTGTAGAAGAACACACGGCGCGTCTTTTGAGCACAAAATCATGGAAATCGTAGTTTGATTCTTAGAGCTTATACGGTCGGAAGTTTTCCAGGTTAAAGGTTAAGTATTTAAGTGAGCTTCAGGCTCGTTTCCGGCATAAAAGATCTCGAATTAAGGTAGTTTCCTGCGTAGATTCTGAATATGAGACTTGTTTTTCCGCCCGAGCTCATATTTTCTTGATAAAACCCATATTTGCCTATAAAGGCAGCACTAAGGCCCGTAGCGAAGCAAAATATAGAGAAAAGTGTCGCGACACCGCCAAATGCGATTTTTAAACCATAAAAAGTTTGATTTAGCTCCGAATTTTAACTTTTAGCCTGAATTCTGGCCAACATCGCGTGCGACTGTCGTGGCCCATTTTCTATTGCGCGCCCTCCGGTCTTTTTTACCGTACCCCCATGCCAGAAGTAATTTCAGCGCCTAATCCCTTCCTTGCATTGCTGTTTCCGCTGTGGGCCAATGAATGACCGACAAAGTTTTCAAAACCGATGTTTTGATTTTGTAAAATTACTTTATTCTCCTCATCACCTTCCAAAACTTCATTTAAATTTTCAGATGTCACTAAGCCAGTGGAGAATCGACTCTTCCCACGCGTCCCGCGCTGCACGTACAGCGGACAGTGCCGCTTACTCCCCGCCCGGCTTCTCGAATGTCGGCCAGACTGTCCAGCATCACGTCGAGGCAGAGGTATTTTTATAAAATTATCAAGGCTTTGTCCAACCGGAATCCGTTATTTTTACGCCGTCTTTCCAGCAATCCTCGGATCAGCAAGAACACCTAATGAAGAAGCGAGCGTGGGATGTGGCGATGGGCCCGGGTAAAAGGTGGGCAAAGTCTTAATAAACAAGTATATCTTTTTAGTTTGCCGATGAATATGTTCATGATGTACATGGCCGGGCGTTCGATATCAATCTTTCCGATCATGATGGTCGCGATGATGCTTTGGCGACCGTTGAAGGTGCGTTGCAGAAATAAATAAAAAAATAATCAGTTTTAGGCCCTATTCTCTGTCAACAGCACATTCAAGCCGCTAGAGCACGAAAGCACCGGTTCGCTGTTGCCGCACAAGGTGCGTATTTCTAACAACCGAAAAAAAGAATGTATTTTAGCTCGTCTTCCTGCTCGGAAATTGCGGTGTCGTGGCGCTGGCTATTTACAAGGTATAGGCTTATTTAGTTTTCTAGGTAGTTTCCTTTTTTCAGATTCACACGATGGGACTGTTGCCAAACTACGACTCGGACTGGCTGGAATTCGTGCCGGAAGCGCGGCGGATCCAGTACACGTTGGTTGGGGACCTTTTCGTTTAATAATGTGCCATTGCTCTTCTTCCGTCCTCCCGTGGGGGCGTCACGTTGTGATCAGGCTATTTTTCGGATTCTTTCAAGTGTGCGTTATAAAGTTTTTTGGTTTATTACGATTGAAGTTTGCGTATCGAAATTTCACAAATAATGAGGAAAACTGGCTAGGAAAGCGCGTAAAAGAGGGTAGTTAAGAGGAAAATTGTATTTGTCGACGGGCCGAGGGCGGCAGAGACGGCGAGCGAATCCCATGCCAGCAGTCTTTCCTCAATCAGAAGACATTCTCCTGGAATACACAAAATATGTTGTTTTTGACCAAAATTAAGGTTTTTTGATCGAAATTGCGAATTTTTGACGTTTTAGATAGTTTTTCTAATCGAAATAAAGCTTTATTTTAGGAAAAAGGTACGTCATAGTCAGTTACTAGACTCATAAAAAAAATGTCTATCCCCAGTCATAATGCAAAAGAACCTAAGTCGGCGCTTCTTACCATCCACATCATAATATCCAAGCTGGCAAATGCACGTCGGGCCGTCTGCATTGTTTTTGCAGACCTGTTTCACTAAAAAAAATATAGATCCGGCCGTTTTCACGAAAATACCCGGGCATTCATGGAACCGGCAAAAGTTCTGGAGCACACACGTCCCGGCCTCTTTTTGGTAACTGATAATATAGCTTTCGGAAAGCTAGATTCTGTCACTTACACTTTGTGCGTCGGGCAGTTGCACGTCTCGTTCCAGTCGTTGTGGCGCATCATGATGAAGTCAGAGTTGAACTCGGGCTGTAAAAAGAATAGCCATAACGGCCTTTTATAAGTGGACCCACGCTGAGCTCGCATTTCGAGCCGGCGGTCGGGCAGCTCATCACGTAGTGGCCCTGCGGCGTCTTCTCGTCACAGGGGTTGGGGCAAAAGCTGAAAAAGGGCCAAAAGTTTACCTTATCCTTGCAGTTTACTTTCGATAATTTCGCATTTTTCGGGGGTTTTAGCGGTCAAAAATGGACGAAAAGTTTAGTTTATGCATACCTATGCATGGCACAATTTCCGTCTTCTGGCATCCGGTCAAACTGCAGCGTTTCGAGCAATTCGGCGTTCCACGCGGCCTGAGAGTTTAGACAAAAATGGAGTAAGTCTTTTAGAGTTACGTAGGTTCAGTTTCTAGCGTGCACCCACCGGAAGCTGGCCCTCCTTGATCTCCTTGGAGTCGAGTGTGCGGTAGCCGCAGAACGGGATCGGCGCGCGCATAAACTCGAAGCGCATCGTCATGTGGCAAAGAATTTGGCCGCCGCTGGAATTTGAGGATTTTTTAATAGTATAAAGTAAACAGCGGGATAATTTACTCACGTCAAGTCCTGCTCCATCCACCGCTCGTCGAGGGCTTCGCGCATGAATTCGCCACTGAAATAGATGTACAAAAAAACAACTATAAAAATTACGTGATGCTTGTATTCTTCTTGGCGAGCAGCCAGGAATTGCCGGTCCGTTGCTCGTGGGTGATCACGTTGTAGAGGGTTTCGATGCATTTCTGGAATGGTTGAGTGATAGAAAGACTTCTACGATTCAGGGGCAAGCCAGCAACAATTCCTTGGGAACAAAGAGCTTTCGGCGCCCTACATCCATTTTCATCGACGAGTGGATGCCGCAGACGTCCCGATCGCTGTATGCCTTGTAGAATCGATAGCCGACGCCGTCCGGGTACCCGTATTCGTAGCTGAAAAAGGGTATTAAAGTATGCCACAGCTGTAGTTTAAAGCCTAAACTGTACTCAAGAGGTTTTTGGAGGTTCTACAGTATAAAAAGATGCAGGAAAACAACCAGAAGCATTTTTTGCGTGGGGGTTTAAGCTGAAAAAACGCCTCGCAAAAGCCTTTTTAAGTCGAAGGCCCGAATTCTTACTTTTTGAACATTTTGAAATTAAAAACTTTGCAAAAGACTTTATTTTACGTTGCGCTTCGTGTTCTGTTTGCCTTTCTTCGTTAACGATTGTTGAATTGTTGAATTGTTGAATTGTTTAATCAACTCTAAAACCACATAAATAACAAAAAATGTACCCTTCGATGGCGCGGAGGACGTGCTTCTTGTGCAGACGGTAGTAGAGCGCGAGCACGCCGAGTCGCTGGTAAAAGGTGAACCTCTCTTTGAGGGGCAGCGTGCTGAATATGCTGGAAAACAACATTTAGGATCAAGAGCCCCTTGCTTGCCTGACGACATCAGCATCAGTGTCCGGGCGGAGCTTCGGGCTCAACGAGAACGCCGCGTAGATGAGAGGGTCGTCGAGGTTCTTTGGGTCCTCTTCTTCCGGTGGTTCCTAGGTTTTAAAAACATAAAAAAATTATTTTTTGGTATCTTGTGCAGAGCAAAAATTTAAAAACAAAAGAGATTAAGTGTATCAAACCCATATTTTGCAGTGAGAAGTTTGGAATAATGGCTTTTAATATGGCTTTAGGTAGTTTTGGTCTTTTACGTTTTTTCTTACAACGTCGCAAGAACAATTTTTATTACAGTAGTTTCTAGATCGTGTTTAATAAACGAAAATACACTTAAAATAGAGCATTTTGAAAGAGTCTAAAACATCGTTTTTGGCCGAAAACCGACTTTTCCATCAAATGTTGACGAAATTTTCGTTCTTCTTTTAATCTTTGGGCACTTTTGCGCGTCAAATACGAAAAAACTGCAATGCACCCTAGAAAACCTTATTTACAAGCTTAAAAAGTATTCTCCTCCCCCGGAAAAAAATGGAAAAAGCACGTAGTAAAACCCCGAAAACTACGCCAAACATCTCTAAACGAACCGTCGTCTCTGGCTCGTCGCCGAAAGCTTTTCCAAGCAAAAAGACGAGCAAAAATATTGCAAGCCGTGGCCGCATCCCAAAATGAACCAATTCCTGGGAAAAACGAAATTGCAGTTTTGTAAATTCAAATACTTTATTCCTAAATACCCATGCAATTTGTACAGTCATTTTTGGTCTATTCGGACTTTTGCTTGGCGGCGCCGCGACAGCACACGCAACGCACGACGCAACGCGTCAGCCGGTAGACGAGGTAGGTGACGATGAAGAGCTAGAAAGGGTGTAAATTTCAAAATTAAATAAAGCCAAATTAAAGCCTGGTAGCAGCAACGCGCGCACAAGGTGGTAGTGTGATTCGGAACGGGGTGTAGGCTGGCTTTCCTTCGCCAGGCGCCAAATGACGATATTTTTCTGTGGTTTCTATGCATATAATCTCGCCGTTTTTGTCGTTTCGCGTTGGGTTCAGACGCGTGGCGTGCGCGTTACGGCCAGACGAGCGGATTACATAGCGTGTACGCTGGCAACAACTTACAACCGAGCCAAGCAAAGCCAGGACATCGAGTTGATAGAGCTGTATGAAGTTGAGGTTCACACTTTCCGGCACGAGTTGGTCGATCGTCTAGAGATACGATAAGCTACAGACAACGGGTTTGGAAATACCTTGAACTCGGCCAAAAACGTCGTCCACTTGTTCAGCAACTCCTCGGGCTTTATCGGCTTTTTGGCGGCCATTTTGGAGAGTTTTTCGGCGGTGGCGGCAAGTCTAAAAATGGGTTGGGCTTTGGTTTAGATTGGGCTCGGTTGAGACTTGACCGAGGCTTGGCTTCGCTTTACGGACGGCTTTGTATTCTCAACCAAACCCACTGCTTATCATCGATGAGCTTCTGAATGGCTTCGACAAGATGGTCAGGGGCGCTGAGCGTCAACTTGTTGAGGACGATGGCCAGGCCGAGCTGCTCGGCCGTGCGCGCATTTTTGAGTTGATCTCCGAAGAGTGGGATGGCGATCATGGGTTTTCCGGCGAGGATTGTTTCCTGAAATGGTGAAGTTCACTCACTGTATGTCACTCACTCACTCTCTCTCTCGCTCTCTCTCTCTCTCTCTTCTCTCTCTCTCTCTCTTTCTCACCTGATAGCTGTTATATCCACCGTGTGTGATGAACCCGACCGTCTTTTTGTGCTCTAAAAATTGTTCATCTACGTTGGAACGATGGTACTCACTCAAAAGATCGGCCTGCGGTATCCACTTCGTCAGCTTCACATTTTTCGGCTTAATCCCGTCAATATCCGAGCCGGTGTACCTCATCACGAATTGGTAGTCGGGGAATTTTCCAAAGGCGGTCATCAGGGATTCCTGGAATTTTGTATTTTATATTTCACTGTGTAGCCTAGTGGTGTAATATGTATCCTATCGTAGTCCACCTCTCGCGGCAAATTTTTCGGTAACTTCGAGGACCTGACGCTACGCCGTTAAAAATTTTCAGCGCAAACACGCAAACATTTACACGTTGTTCTATTCAGCTAATAGGGCGCGTTGACGTTTCTCTGTCTGACTTTGTCGTTCTCTCTCTCTCTCTCTCTCTCTCTCTCTCTCTCTCTCTCCCTCTCTCGCTACCTACCTTCCAACTCTGCGGCATCATTGTCGAGTTTGCCACCGAGCCGAACGACATGATGAAAAGTCCCTTCGTATTCGAAAGTAGCTTCTCGTACTCCTAAGATTTGTAAGAAATTTCTGAGTTATTTCTTATATGTATTACTTTCGATTTTTCAGTATTTCGTTAATTTATTCATATCTGAATTTCCAAACCTCAGGCAACGCCTTCGCGTCCTTAAACTGCATCCCAAGTCCGCCAATGTTGACGACCTTATGCAGGGTGGGCGTTGCTTGGGCGTACAGCTCGTTCGTGTTCACCATCACCAGAGGGCACTGTAGAGGGTTGGATTCTAATTCTCGCCCCAAGCACAATAACTACCGTCGGGGCGATGTCGAGGTGGAGATCCGGGAAATCGGGGCGGATGTGTTTGCGGAAGAGGGCAGTTTGAGGGTTCGGGATCATCCTGGAGAAAGTTGGTGATGTGGCAGGGATTATTTGGGAAATTGGCCTGGTGGGACTATGCCTCTACAGGATTAGGGGCACCTCGAAGCGTTCGGACGCGTTGGCTGCGTAACTAACTAATCCAGCGCTACGAGATTTCACGCAAGTCTGATCTCTCTCTCTCACTCTCTCTCTCCTCGCTCTCGTTCCCTCTCTCTCCCTCTCCCTTACCATGGATGTAGGGCAAATCCGAGGGTGTTCCCGATGAGACTCTTCACCCGCTGCGTGAACGTCATCCGATTTCCAGAGTCCATGACGCCAGCTGGAATTCTCTATCTATACCGTTCGCTCGCTCTCGCTCTCACTCTCACTCTCTCTCTCTCTCGCTCTCACTCTCTCCCTCCCTCTCTCTTTCCCACTTTCTCTCTCTCAACCTAGACTTACGTGGAATGAAGCTGGAAAAGTAGGGTACGCCCACCGAGGCCCCGATATTCGCTCGCAGGTCGCCGGAGACGAGCCAAACCCAGGATTTGATCTGGAAAGTGTAGAATTGGCGGTGCGCACAAATTTAGGGTGTTCACTGGATCCGCGCGTAGTCGGAGAGGGGCTACGTGGGGCGCCAATCGACAGGCTAGGTCTATGGGTGTTTTCGGTGTTTTCTGCTCTCGTTACGGTGTCAATTGGAAGTTTGAAATTTGATGCAAAAAATTGGAAAGATCTTGGTATCACGCTCCCTTAAAATTGTTCCAGTGTTGCGCCGAAAACTGAGTTGTAAGCGCGTTACAAACGCGTTACGGCCATCAAACCGGGCCATATTCCCCTGTCACCGTCCCTTTAAAACCCACCCCAGCCATGTGGATGATGCCCAGCGGGCAGTAGTCGTACGCGTGCGTGAAGACGACGTCAAACTTTTCCGCTTTCAGGAACGGGACGAGTTCTTGGTTCCGGATGGTGCCTGAAAGTTTAGGGTAAGTTAAGACAAGGGTTTAAATCCTTACCTTCACACGATTCGCCCATGATCTTCCCCCAGAAGCTCATCGCCTCCCTGCCCTTCGCGTCGAAGAAGGAGAAGTCCTGTAATCATCAAAAAATTTTCTACTTTAAAGGTGCTAGAAAGGCAAAAATTTAGACTATACTTCCAAGTTCCTTTAATGGATTATTTCCTTACCCGGAACGTCATATGGGACGTCATTTCATCCATGTCATCTTGCGTCACGTTGCCGGAGGCATCGACGTTGAATTCTGGAAATTGGGAAATTTTCTCGCTCCCTGCCTCTCCCTCTCTCCCTCTCTCTCTCTCTCTCTCTCTCTCTCTCTCTCTCTCTCTCTCTCTCTTCTCCTTTCACCTGCCTTTAATGCTCGAATCCTTGTCGATAGTCTTCCGCAACCCTCCTTTGTACGGATTTATGTTAATGAGGGTGACATCATGCCCTCCCTCTGCCAATGTCTGCGCCACTCTCTTGTTGAACAAAATCTGAAGGACGAAATTGAAAAATCGCTCTCGCTCGCTATCTCTCTCTCTCTCTCTCTCTCTCTCTCTCTCTCTCTCTTTCTTTCTTTCTCTCTCTCACTCTCTCCCTCTCTCTCTCTCTCGTTCTCTCTCCCATCTTCAAAATCTTCAAAATGAAATTTACCTGACTATTCGAGAATTCCAAAATGAAGAGTGCCACCTTGGCGGCCGACGCCAGGGAGGTTAGGGCAAAAATAAGCAAAAGCAGGCGCATGGCTGAAACGTAAGGAGTAAAAAACCGGCATTTTCATGGGATTGGAAGGCCGCGAATATATGAGGTGTTAGTGAGAAGGTGAGAGAGATAGAGCTAGAAAGAGAGCGAGAGAGAGAGAGAGAGAGAGAGAGAGAGCGAGAGTGCGAGAGACAGAGAGCAAAAAACGGGATCATGATCTATAACAAGGTAGGGCTAGATCGATACAACTTTAGAGGGGTAGTGACAGCACTAGACAATCTTTACCAACTGCTAAAATCCCGACAATGGCCAATTCAAAAATTTCCTCGCTTATTTTTATACAAGTGCGAATGCTGAGAAATCGTCGAAAAATGTGATAAGACAGTCTGTGATCGGGTGCGGGTGCAGATTAGCACGTTTCGAGGGGTGGACAGCAAGGGGGCCAAAAAGACTGGGGGAGAGAGGGTCAAATTGTGAAACTCTCCAGTTGCATCACCGAAAAAACAGATGGGGGTACAGATCAGAAACGATCAGAAACCCAAAGGAAATGATGCCGACGGAAGGACTTTGGGCTGGATGTTTGCCAATGCGCCAGGAAAATAGCGGAAATTCGGATTCCCGCCAGTACCCACTGGGATCTTGGATCATGGAATCGACATCATATCTACGCATTAAAAGTAATCATCTATAGCTCTGGAAATGGATTTCCCGCACTTTAAGGGGGATGAGACACGCCATTTTATTTTGGTCTTAAAAATGCGGATTTCTATCTCTATGCGTCCTACTATCTCTCTCACTAGCTCTCTCCCACTCTCTCACTCTCTCCCACACACACACTCTCTCTCTCCCTCTCTCTCCCACGCTCTCACTCTCTCCCACTCTCTCTCTCTCTCTCTCTCTCTCTCTCTCTCTCTCGCCTCCCTCCCTCTCCATCTCCATTTCCCTCACGCTCTCTCTTCCTTTCCCGTTTTTTTTCTGTTCTCTCTTTAACCTGTCGTGTTTTTTCGTTTTGGTTTCGACCTTGTTTTCACGTCATTATTATTAATATTTATTTATTGAAGCAGTTTGGCAAAGCCACAAATAAAAATTGTAAACTATATAATTCGGCAATGGCAAGATTAAAGTAGTCGTCATGGAATCAGCAAAAGAGCATGAGTGAGAGCCAGAGAAAGGAACGATGACAGAGCGCGAGAGGCAGAGTGAGAGAGAGCGATAGAGAGAGAGAGAGCGATAGAGTGAGAGAGACCTGTCATGAAATTTCGGGGGGTAGGTTCATGAAAGTCAAATGTGTTAGAGCAGTAATTTTCCGGTGATTATATCATAACTGTTTTGGTGAGGTAAGTTTGGGCAGATTAATTTGCAAGAATTTGTGATTTTGGAATGATCACGGATTCGAACAAAACGAAAGCCCCGAAAAATTTGAGCAAAATTTATTATGTGAGTCTGAAAAAAAAAATCAGGCCAGGGCGGTCCTGTCATTAATGCATCTGGGGCGAGCGGGCAATATCGGTAGATGATCATCAATATAATGTGTACAAGTTCGAGAATGCAACAAAGGCGTGCCCCGAATTATTCCCGTTTCTTCATCTCGGCCAGGATGCCCTTGACGAAGGCGGCGGCCCGTTTCCCGTTCTCCTTGGCGGCCTGCAGCACCTCCTCGTGGGTCACCTCAACCGCGTTTTCCGTGTCGAAGTTGGCGCTGAAAATTGGGGAATTGAATTGAGGATTTCTCTCTCTCTCGCTCGCTCTCTCTCTCTCGCTCTCCATCCTCTCTCGTAGAAAAACTTACATATTGGTGATGAGGCTCATGCCGAGGACCTTAATTCCGCACTGGCGGGCGACGACGACTTCGTGGCAGGTTGACATACCCAACGCGTCGGCGCCCAACATCTTGAACAGGGACACCTGAAAAATGTAGGTGAAGGGACTAGAATTTCGAGGCGTAACTGGTTCAAAAGGAAATCTTTGTCATCCCGCATTTCACGGAGAGGTATTTACGAGCCGAGAGAGAGAGAGAGAGGGAGATAGAGAGAGAGAGAGCGAGAGATAGCAAGACAGCATAGCGTCAAAAACCCTACCCAGCGCGACCGCAACACGTTCAGTAAGGCTAATTTTGGAGCCCGAGTGAAACCCCGTGAATTAATACACCCACCTCAGCCGGCGTCTCATACTGTGGGCCTCCGCACATCACGTAGATACCCTCAGAAATCCGGATCCCCTGCTCCTCAGCCACGTGCAGCGCCATCTTCCTCAACTCCTTGTCGTAGAGATCGTGAACCGACACGAATCGAGGCCCGAATCGAGGGTCGCTCAGCCCGACAAGTGGTGATTGACCAGCAAGGCCAGGGAGGAAGATGTGGTCCTAAACGAATCCTTAAAAATCCTGTTACCACCCTCACCTTGATCAGCATCAGATCTCCGTATCGGAAAGTCGACTTCATTCCACCGGCCGCGTTCGAGACGAACAGGGTCTTGATGCCGAACTGGTGCATGACGCGCACGGGCAGGGCGCACTAATGGTAGGTTATACTCAAAGGGATGGTGACCCTTACAAGAGCCAGATTCATATCATACTCATAGGGATGGAAACGGCCCTGGAGGCAGACGACACGGTGGCCAGCGATACGGCCGAACAGCATGATGCCCTTGTGGCCAGGGACTGAAAATGGGTCGTTGGGACGTTGAGCTTAAAGGCCAAGCCGACCCGAAGCGGAAGCGTAAGCCTGGACTTGGAAAACCATAAACCAAAGCCTAAGTAAGCCAGCATAAGCAAAAAAGTGGCCTTAAATTGAGCATGAGCCTAAGCTGAGCTAACATACGCTAAACCAGGCTGCTGCTCATTTTCAGTGGATCTTGTTAAGCCTAAACTTCAGCTTACCATGTAGTGGCGGGAAGGCCGGGATGTCATCGTAGGAGACCGGGAACGGGTCCTCGACCAGGTTTCCGAGCTCGCCGAGCCCCGAGCCGCAGATGATCCCGATTTCGGCTTGGGCCTGAAAAATGGTTTTTTAGGGAGAGTGACAGCTGGGGATCATTTTAATTAAAATGAGAAGAGTTTTAGATTTGGGCTAATTTTAAAGGGCGCGGGACAGCTGGGGGACCACAATCAAGGCTCGATTCCATTCATCCCAGGGCCCTTTGAACTCAATTTCATGCCCTAATCGATCGGTGTCTCAGCCCGTTTTCCGTTTTGTTCCACTTCCGGACCGGCTGATCCCGCCACGCAATCCGGACAAAACATTTTGGGCCAAATGCTAGTCTCGCCCCCCCTTATATTGATAAGCGGCCGGCCGGGGAGAGGAAAACAAAAATCGTCTCCCTCCCCAACCGCGCAAATAATTTTTAATCCTTTCAAGCTTGATATGGCTATGCCTAGCCAAGGCGAAAAGACGCGACAAAGCCGGAAAAACAAAAGATCTCACCGGATTTTCGGTATTTTCGGCAGGAAATTACGATTTTTCCAATTTACGGACCGTGTAAGGTCGTTTTAATTCGGAAAATTTTTTATGTCAGCTCGGAAACTGGCAGGATTTAAAGTTAAACGTGAGTCGATTCAAAGTTTAAAAACTGACCCGATCGCCGGCGATTTTTCGGATGCCTTCAGCTGTGTCGAGGACGGCGTCAAACGATTGGCAACTGGAATACGAAATTTTGCTACCGTATCTACCGTAGCGTTTCGTAATTTCACGTTTATAACGATACAGTAATTAGCGTCAATACTTCTTTAACGTGGTATTTGTTGTCTACCGTAATACCCGTACTGTGGCGTACTTTTAGCTTTAAAATAGTATCTACTATATCTTTATGGGGAGCAGTACACGTGGCCAGGAGCTTTTGCAGTATCGGGGGGGGGGGGAGTTTATCGGGGGAAACGAAAACTTTTCAAAATTGTATTAAAAAAACAATGTAAAATTTTTTGGACCAAATTTTTTTCCTAAAAAATGTTTTTGTAGATTTTGGATAGCTTTTTTACCTGAAATACGGCTAAATTTTGTTTGAAACGTTTTAAGTACGTGCTATTACGTCACTCGAAATTTTTCAAATTTTAGAAAAATTCAATTCCCCCCCCCCCCGCGATAATGCGAAAGATCCAACGTATAGTGTTAAATAGGTGCTTTTCCATGATCGGGGGGGGGGGGGATTTTGTGTGGCAATGAGGCGCCAGTGCCACACAGATTTTGGACACCTTTCCCTCTTGTGACGTCCCCATCCCACCCAATGGCTTGCCACTATGGCCTAATGGATAGCATCCTGACCTACAAAACGGATGCCCTGGGTTCGACCTCCGCTCGCGGCAGGGTTTTTGCGTTTTGAGCCCCGAAAAGGTTGGGCATCTCTTTAACCTTTTCAACTCTCCACAGGCTCATTTTTTGTTAGTTGATCTTTTCAACCCCGTTCCCCCGCCCCAGACCAAAAATGTCACGTGTTCGCAAAATGACAGTGCCGCGAGACACCGTTAAATTTTTTATGACCGCGACTCCGGACTATACCTATTTTCGTGGAATCTCCACCGCGGGACCCCCATAAATTGCGGGGGCTGATAACGATGACAATGGACCGCGGGGTCTTTTGTTGGCCGCCGAAATTTCGTCTAGCCACGACATTTGGAGTGTATTTTAGGGCCTCGGAATCGGCGGGCTGTCCCTTTAAAACACCAAAGCATCCAATTTCCGCACACTAATAGAGCAAGTCAAAACTTTCTCTTTGAACGTACTTGACGGTGACGACGGGGCGGTTGTTGTTGACGATCACTTCCATCGTTTTTCTGTTGTATTTTTTGGGGGATATTGGGGGATTTGTCAAACTGAAAAGGGCATTCTCGTCAAGTGGCAAGAAAAATAATGACAAAAGGGCAGAGAGAGAGAGAGAGAGAGAGAGAGAACGCGAGAGAGAGAAATATTTTCATTTCATTACCTAAGTCAATTCATAGGTCGTATCGTCATTTTTGGGAGAAATACAGAGAGGAGAGAGAGAGAGAGAGAGAGAGAGAGAGAGAGAGAGAGAAAGAGAGAGAACGCGAGAGAGAGAGAGAGAGAGAGAACGCGAGAGAGAGAAATATTTTCATTTGTGTTACCTAAGTCAATTCATAGGTCGTATCGTCATTTTTGGGAGAAATACAGAGAAGAGAGAGAGAGAGAGTGCGATAAACATTCGCCAAACTGGAACCAAGGGGCAAAAATTCGATTTGTCAACTACAGTAACCCCCCTTTCTACAGAGGAGCGAGTAAGGGGCAATCTAGCAGAGATTATTGAGGCATTGTTATCTAGCCTGAAGAGGTTCTTAAAGGGCTTTAAAAATAACATACAGGGTGTCCCATAAAAAAGCACCCCTCCGGCATTTCGCCGTATTACATCCCAACAGTCCCAAAATTGGACTGGAGGCGTATCAGACCCTAAATAACCACAATCCTGAGTTATAGCCCGATCGCTACAGTCGTTTTCGAGTTATCGTCAAAATACCGTTTTTGACGCGGTTCTTAACAGTTTCTTCGGCTATCTTTTTGGACTTTGCATCGATTTGCATCGACTTCCGGCTGCGAATCCCTAATTTCGCTTAATATCGGGAGTGACTTTGCGTTACAAAAATTGCTGAAATCAACGGTTATTTCACTAATTTTTATCGGAAAAAAATCTCTAGGGGTAAAGCAGACTTGCCGCTTTATTTTCACTTAATATTCGAAGGGTCGATTTCGACGAAAACCATATAAAAACGGATAATAAAGTTCATTTTTGTTGTATCTCGAAGATTACTGTAGTGATCGGGCTACAACTCAGGATTGTGGTTATTTAGGGTTTGATACACCTCCAGTCCAATTTTGGGACTCATGGGATGTAATACGGCGAAATGCCGGAGGGGTGCTTTTTTATGGGACACCCTGTATAGAATGGATATAAAAAGGCAAAGTCGGGGGAAAGGTGATTATTTTTGCTTGGGAGCTAAGTTTTATTCAAGCTTTGAGAATTCTAATTTGAATGCGCTAACATCTATAACCACGCCTTGCCGGTCCCTTTAAACCGAACCCAAACATCCCGACTCGAAAATGATGTGCGACCCCGGCGGGAGGAGGAGGAGGGCTGATGAGGGGGGTTCCGGGGCGGGCGTAAACAGTCTGTCCATAGGTGGCGCGCGTACTGATAACTCGAAGGGGGGGGGGGGAGGGTCGTCGCTATAGAGTGCCCCCCGCTTCTTATCTACCGCCCCGGCCTCGCGACCCCTCCTCAAAAACGCCGATTTTAATCCACAGAGCGATTGCCCCGGCGAGTCCATGTGACTCCTCTGGACGGGGGCACCGAGACCGTTTCTCAGCTCCACCGGGTAATCAGTCGTAAAGTGGAGCCGGAACTTTTTGAATTTGGGTGATCTGTGGGTTAGGCGGAAAGCGTGACAGGATCGGGAAAAAATTATAAAATATAAAAGCTCAAAATAGAGGGATTAGAAAATATATATAAACCTAATATAGAAGAAAATTAGAAAAATAGAGCAATTGAATATGGCCAAAAAGTATACAAAGAAAGCGCGACTCAAGAGCGTCGCGGTCGCGTTGCGAGACCGGCCAGCCACAACGGAAAATTTTAATGACAATGTCCTTCAAAAAGTTCCAGGTTTTGGCGAAACTCTCGTGTCACCGTCCCTTTAAAGGTATTTGCCAGGCCCGAGAGCGCCTCCTCAAGGATCTCAGCTAGTCTTCCTGACCTGTCTGGTGTCACCATCGTTTCAAAAGGCACCGCCAAGGTAAATGATGGATTCCTAAAGCGTCTCTGCGAGCCTACCCAGGCCGAACAAGCCAATTTAATCAGTCGCGCTAGGAAAATTGTATACAAATGCCATTAGACCTTAATAAGCTAACCCTGGGAAATCAAATGACGAGAGATGACACGCCGAAACTGATCGCCCCCAAAACTCTATTTTTCCACGTTTTCGCCGAGGGTGGGGGCGGAAGGGAGAAGAACTTTCAACGACACCTCGGGGAGAGAGGGAGAGGGAGAGAGAGAGAGAGAGCTAGAGAGAGAGACGGGACATATTTGGCGAGAGCAACTGATCGAGTGACGAAAATAGCACAAAAATGCCCACGTGACCTATCGTAGAGCGATTTGCTATGACCCGGAATCCATGATTCGAGCTTCGGGAGTTTCGAACATTTTATAGATCCAGCTACCGTACTCCAATCTCCACCTCCTGCTGCTACTATCAATCGGCGACATGAAAATCGGTTCCCCTGCCTCGTTGGGCGGTGTCCGCGAAAAACTGGACAAACAAATTGTTGCTTGATAAAGATCGTAAATGCTCCCGTTGAGGGATACCATTTGCATAAATCAAAGGTCCAACTACGAGCGATCCTATGTCCGCTCTCTCTCTCTCACTATCTCTCTCTCTGTGTCTTTTCTCTCTCTCTCTCTCTCTCTCACCTTCTCACTGTCAAGCTGCACTGTGTTCGACAGTTCACGACAAATAATTTATGCAATAAAAATAATTCAATAAAGAAAGGATAAAAAGAGGACATGAAATAAAATACCCAAAAAACGTAAATAATCGCGTGGAATTCTGACGCCTTCAAGACGGTGGGTCGGAGGTCCGTTTTTCTGAAAGTTAATGATCTTACGTTTTTCAAAGCTAAAGAGAGAGAGAGAGAGAGAGAGAGAGAGAGAGAGAGAGAGAGTGTTACCAAGCTGCTGCGTGGGCGGTGCCCGGCTGAGCTTCTTCTTCTTGTGGCTGCCGTTGAGCAGTGCCATGCTCATGTCGGAGCTCTTCTTCTGCCCCATACTGCCGATCGACTGCATGCGGGCCGAGGAGAAAGCGGGGATCATCTACATACAACAGGATGTTGATCTACGTGATTTTTGAGGAGTCGGAGATTGGCAGGATTTCTTTGATTTGGTTTGATTTCATATTCTTTTTAACTGCGTTCCATCAATTTCATGCTTTTTAACCATTTCATGCCCATCTCCGAACCAAAATATTTTCGTTGTAGCAACCAAGGGAACCAAATAAGGCCAAGCTTTCCCATTTTTACTTCCGGCCTACCAGATTGCTGCCCGCTTTCGTGGGCGGTGGCTGAAAATGAACCCCTATGGGATTGGTAGGGTTCCCGGAGCGCACACAAAATTCACCTGCAGATCCGCGTCGGAGGCTAGGAATCGGCAGCCGAAGAGTTTGCGGAGGGAAACGCGGAATCGTCTGGAAAATGGGGTTAGGAGTGCAAAAAATGGTTGGTTCCTATTTTGGTATGTAGGCAAGGTTACAGTATGAATTTAATCGTTTTGTCGGCTTGTCGGTATGTTGTTTCTCTCAGTCTCGCTGTCTGTTTCTCTCTCGCTCGCTCTCTCTCGCTCGCTCTCTCTCGCTCTTTCTCTCTCTCTCTCTCTCTCTCTCTCTCTCTCTCTCTCGTTCTTACCCTCTCTGCATCTAGCTCTATCTCTGAAGATCGCTCCCGCACTCTCTCCCCGTTCATAAATTTCTCTCGCCCTCTCTCGCTCGCGCTCTCTTTCTCTCTCTTCTCTCTCTCTCGCTCTCTCTCTCGCTCACTCTTTCTCACTCTCCCGCCCTCTCTCCCAAACTTACTTTGACATTAGCATATATAGTCCAAAAGTGATTGGGTGTACGGTCATAAAGAGAAGATTGTTGAGGGCGATGAGGTAGGGGTTGTGGACGAAGATCACCTGGCCCAGGCTCGGGATCAGCTCCGAAATCTGAAATTAACCTAAATTCAGGGATGCGGATCCACAAATTGTCTTTGCTAGCTTGCCCAATGCAAGTAAAGCACATTTGGAGCGCTGCTAGCCTCTTCGGAAGCCCTGATAAAAACTTTTACCACTTCATCCCTATTTCCGGCCCGAAAAACCGAAATTTTTCCGCAAATGGCCTCTGCTAGCCTGCTAAATATCGACAATAAACTTGTTAGTCGAAAAGATGTTTTTCTAGCTTGTGTACTTTTCTGAAAATACGGAATAT